AACATCGACCAGTTGCCTCCTGCACACCCCCAACCGGGGATGTGCCCATAACCAATGTATATGCCTCTGACCGGAATCGAACCCAGGACCTTTCAGTCCGCAGGCCAACGCTCTATCCACTGAGCCATACCGGTTTTGCCTGTTTTTTTTTTTTAATTAATTTATTTATTAAGGTATTACAAATAATAGTACATATGTCTCCTTCCCACCCCCCATTAACCCCCCCCCGCCCCCCTCCAACCCCCTCTTCCCGCCCCGCACTTGCCCTCCCGCCCCTCCCACCCGGCAGCGCCTGTGTCTATTGTTGTGCTTATATGCATGCATACAAGTCCTTATGACTTGAATCTATTTTTAGTTCAGGAATGTGAGGGGAGGACGGGCTACCTTAGGATTGAACAGTTCTGGGGAAAGCCCTGTTTTAATGCCATTTGGGAAGCAAGAACTGAAACAGTCAAGACAAGAAAGCTTTAGAAATGAGATTTCATTCTTAGTATATTTGGGTTGACTTGTGGTTTAGGACAGAAGTCGAGGAATTGGAAGTTCCTTTTTTATGCTTTTGGTGTTTTCTCTCTGTGACATCGGGGAAAACAGACTTTAAAAAAAAGTACTTTTGCTTAACTTAGAAGACATTCTATTGGTCTTATGCTCAGTGTAAAAAAGCAGAGCAAGCACAGGGAAGCGTATTGAATAATATTGTGGTATGTTGGGGCTGTTAGTTTGTGTCCCATATGTTCTGTTGGTGATAAATTGGACGATTAAAGTCTCCTAATAGTTCAGTGACTGACAGGCCTTGGTGCCTGCCGTTGCTCAGAACCATTCCCGGGGGAGGCTCCTGTCCAGGTGTCCCCACCATTGTAGCAAGTGGTCAGTCCACCGAAGGGCAGCACTGCTCTGGGCAGCCCCGAGCACCGCCCAGCCATGGCTGCTCTGCTCCAACAGCAGGTCTTTGAGGTGGGGAGTCAGGACCGGTCCTACCAGTCCATGTTTTGCATGGACCCGCCCCTGTCCCTAACTGCATTCCTCCATCCCCCTCACAGTCCACGGGATAGCTCACCACGTCTGACTCCTCATTCTTTCTCAGAACCTGTGCTTGTGGAGTGGTGGGGGTAGGGTTTGGTAAATACCAGCACCTTCGAGATCTTTCTTCTCGGGAAAACTTCCTTTTCTTCCTTCAGGCCCTCATCGTAGTGAGCCAGGACGTTTATTCTGTTTATGTCACCGAGAACATCCGGAGCGACCATCTCAGGCTGAGCTTGGCACCCAGCGTTAACGTGACTCCATGTTTTACCCAAAGATGATGGTGCGATTCAGTAAACTGTGCAGCGTGTTTTCTAGACGTTTTCCTGTCTCTTTCATTCATGCCGCGGACGTTTAGAGGGCACCTACTGTGTGCACGGCACTCTTCTAGCACTGAGGGACATCACACCGGACTGAGGAGTCTTAAGCTTCCTGCGGGTGGGGAGTGAGCGGCACAGGTGCCGGAGAGCGGGAGGTAGAGACCAGGCCAGGGCGGTGGCTTTCTCGGGCTCCCTGTTCTTATCCCCACGGACAGACGCGGACCTGAAGCACAAGGGTTGACAATTATCTTGAAACTACCTCGGCAGTAGGTAGTAAAGGTTGAATTTGACTTGGAAGACAAGCATGAGCTAAATGTAACCGTCTCTCTGGTGTACTGCAACTTAATTCTGAGCAAATTTCTGAATGCTGCTTTCCATGAAAACTAAGTCTCTTCACTAGACGTTCTGTTGTATCGGTGTGTATGCCTGGACACATTTTAAAATATTAAAATGCCCTGTGTATGCCCTGGTTTCAGAACGTATCCCAGATTGACCACGTACCACGTTCTTCATAGTCACCACCCATCCTCTCCTGGGCTGCCTCAGTGGGTGCCCCAGTATCTGCCTGCGCCCTCCTCCCCAGTTTATTCTCCATCGCAGCCAAAACATGTAGAAACCTAAGCAAATGGCTGTGTTCAGAGCCCTGTGGCGGCTCCCGGAGCCAGCTCTCACAGGCCTCGGAGGCCCCTTCCTCTCTGAGCGTGTTTCTGTCACTGTGCTCTCACTACCCTGGTCTTCCTGGCCTTGACCGGGCCAAGCACAGTCCCACCGCACTGCCCAGGACCCTCCCTCCTCCAGGAGCGGCCTCCGGGGCTTTAGCGGAGATTGTGGCTGTTCCCCCTCCTGTTTCCCGCTCACGGTGCTCCTAACCACCTGTTCACCTGGCTGCTGTCCTTCGGCCTCAGCCTGAGCTCCGTGGGAGCGGAGCCGCGCTGGGTGCTGGGTGCTGGGTGCCGGCTGCTGGCTGTGCATCTGAGGAGGAGTCGGTCCTAGAAGATGAAGCTCACTGGGCTCTGAACACCCAGTGAGCGCTCTCAGGCGTGGCTTCGGTCCTTTGCTTCCCTCATTCCGTGCCTTCATTTCCCCCGCGATTCAGTGTGTGCAGAGCTGCTGTGTGCTGGCACTGTGCCAGAGCTGGGGATGCGGCAGGAAGGAGCAAGGTGGGCCTTTTTCTCATGGAGCTCCCAGCCCTCCAGGGAAGCAGGGTGAGACAGGGAGTGAGGAAGAGAAGTTTTTGCACTTGGAGTGCGCGGAGGACGGGAACAGAGGCCGCGGCATCAGAGGAGGGTGGCACGGAGGCTGTGCCAGAGGCCAGGGCAGGGGAAGGCCTGCAGGTGACTTTCAAGCTGAGAACAGGAGGAGGAGGAAGAACCAGCTGCACCAAGAATGAGAGAAAGTGCTCCTAGGCCGGAGGACTAGCAGGCGGCCAGAGATTAGATAGGGTTTACGATGATGGAGGAAATGTCAGGGGCTGGAGCTGCCCTGCTGGCTGGAGGGCACCGCGAGGACCGTTATGCCCGGGTCAGCAGGGCCCCTGCAGGTGGGCACGGGGAGTGACCGTGTTTCTGAAGATCCTGTGATTGCTGTGTGGACAGTGGTGAGAGGAGGGACTACAACAACACACTTTCTTGTCACTTAGGGTTTTATTCTGCACTTAGATTTTAAAGTCTCCCTGGCCCTTGGCAACCATCATTTGCTTTCTGGCTCTGAATTCAACTAGTCTGTGTGCCTCACGTGGAAGCACACAGCATTTGTCTTTTTGTGCCTGGCTTCTGTCACATAACATGTCCTCAACGTTCACCATGTTGTAGTATACGTCAGAATTTCCTTCCTTTAATAAAAAAAACATTTTATTGATTTTTTTTACAGAGAGGAAGGGAGGGATAGAGAGCTAGAAACATCAATGAGAGAGAAACTGCACACCCCCTACTGGGCATGTGCCTGCAACCAAGGTCCATGCTCTTGACCGGAATCGAACCTGGGACCCTTCAGTCCGCAGGTCGATGCTCTGTTCACTGAGCCAAACCGGTTAGGACAGAATGTCCGTCCTTTTTGAGACTGAGTAATATTCCATCGTACGGACACACTGCATTTTATTTTTCCACTTACCTGCTGGTGCACACTCGGGCTGCTTCCTCCTCAAGGAACTAGTGCTGCTGTGAACACAGAGGAACAGATCCCCGTTCGAGTCCCCGCTTTCATTTTCCGGGGAAGTTCATGGCTAGCTGTCTTGCAGCAGGGACACGGAGGGCTTCTGAGCGTGGGGTCAGGAGTCAGGATGTCGTGGTGTCTGAACAGGACAGGAGCGAATTTCCTACAATGTCACAATTCCACATAGCCTCTTGGTTCAGATGAGGCCCCTCCCTGATAGCGTTTGTCATAACGTAATGTGTCCCCTTCCTTATTTCTTTTTTTTTTTTTTTAATTTATTTTTTACAGAGAGGAAGGGAGAGAGATAGTTAGAAACATCGATGAGAGAGAGTCATCGACCAGCTGCCTCTTGCACATCCCCTACTGGGGATGAGCCCGCAACCAAGGTACATGCCCTTGACCGGAATCGAACCTGCGACCTTTCAGTCCGCAGGCCGATGCTCTATCCACTGAGCCAAACTGGTTTCGGCCCCTTCCTTATTCCTAATGGAAAGAGTGTGTGAGCAGCCCGGTTGCTTTGCTCCTCTGAGGCCTGCTTAGAGCCGGAAGCCTTGTCGTTGTCATGCGTCCTCGGGCCTGGGACAGCAGGTGGCCAGTGGGAGGTATGGACTGGTTAGGAATTTAATGACTCTCAGCATGGGGGAAGCGGTTCTTTGATCCCCTGGGATTTCATGGACATATTGTCATATCTTCATAACTCTGGGGTTTTAGTATAAGGAAGAAGTTGTAGATTACATTTGTATTGAAATTAAGAAAAACGAATCATTCTGCTCTTGAACGTGATAAGTAAAATGTGTGTCTTAGTATGACTTTTGTTACGTTCTGCCATTATTTGAATGATTAAAATGGCCATGTTATTTAGTTTTATTAAAATAACAATAAGCTTTAGTGTTGTAAAGTGTGGTGTGCTAATTGTAAATTCACAAAATCAGTCAAGAAAGTGTGATAGACGGATAAGATGGATGAGTAAGGCGAGTAAGATGCAGTTTTATTTATTTATTTGTGTGTGTGTGTGAGTGTGTGTGAAAATGTTTATTCTATCTTCACATCTAATTTAACATTTGGTTTGGGGTAGAATTTAGGAATTAAAATAAAATTTTTAAAAATATTTTTATTGATTTCAGAGAGAAAGGGAGAGATAGAAACATCAGTGATGAGGCAGAAGCATACATCTGCAGCCTCCTGTATGCTCCACACTGGGGAAGGAGCTTACACCCGGCCAAGTGTCCTGACCAGGAATCCAACCGTGACCTTCTGGTTCATAGGTCTGTGCTCAACCACTGAGCCATGCCGGCCGGGTGGAATTAAAATAATTTTTAAGCTGCAGTTTTTAAAGAGGGAGGTGGTGGCTTGCAGAAATACTGGTACACTGAGTGAATACTTCTTCTAGTGGGTACTTTACTCTCAAGGCATATTTAGTCGCTGAGCCTAGTGTGGTCACTGATAACGCTGACTTTCCTCTCTGCAGACCAGCGCTCCTTGTTTACTTACATTTGGCTTTTCCCCACACAGATCCGGCGGAGGCGCCTGGCTCGACTTGCTGGTGGACAGACCTCCCAGCCGACCACCCCGCTCACCTCTCCCCAGAGGGAGAACCCTCCGGGGCCCCCCATAGCGGCCTCAGCCCCCGGCCCCTCCCAGAGTCTCGGTCTCAATGTCCACAACATGACCCCAGCTACCTCCCCCATCGGTGCATCAGGTAAGCCTCTCTTCACACCTGGGTGTGTTAGGCTTTCTAATTACAGCCTCTGATTCGCTTAGAGTTTTGACATTTCCACAACAGGGTACAATTGGACAGCAATTCTTTAAATCCTGCAAGCCATAGTTTAGAATTTGAGATTATTACAGCATGCTTTGTTAATGTCGACTTGTTTTGATAGTGATCTGTTAAAACTGTTATCCTTTCCATAACTTATCCTTTTTTCCAAACAGGGTCAGGTTTTATCTTTGATGGCAAAGTGATGAAGACTATATTTGGTTCTGCTGATTTGATGAGTTTGGTTGATGCTTTTAAGATAAAATCATCTGAAAGTATGAGATTGAAATAATGGTCAAAGTAATAAGCCTCTAATTATGGATTTCCTTATTTACATTGGCACAGAATGCTTTCTCTGAATTTTCAGGCCATGAAAGTTTGTCTGGTATGATGTTTCAGGCTATCTTACTGATAGTTACTTAGCTAACAAAAGGTTTATTTCTGTTTTTAAAATATATTTTTATTGATTTCAGAGAGGAAGGGAGAGGAGAGAGATAGAAACATCCTATATAATAAAGTGGTAATATGCAAATTGACCATCACTTCAACACACAAGATGGCCACCCAATGGGGTTAAAGATGGCCACCACAAGATGGCCAGGAGGGTAGGGCAGTTAGGAAGGTCCAGGGCTGCAAGAGAAGGCAGTTGGGAGCAGGGGATCAGGCCTCCTTAATAGCTAAACCGTACTAGAGGCCTGATGCATACTATTCCTGCAAGGGGCTCGGCCCTCACAGCCCTGCTGCCTCGGCCCAATCATGGCCCAATCATAGCCCATCATGGCCCTGCAGCCCCGCCCACTGGTCGTTCTGGAAGGTCCTCCTGGAGGTCATTCGGGAAGGTCATTCCACCATCCGATCTAATTTGCATATTAGTATATAGGATTTTCTGGTTTTCTTTCCCACTCCCCTAATTATTCCTACCTTCTGCAGTCTGCAGCCTCGTTCTCCATGCGCACTCTTCGCTGCTGGCCCGCCTTCCTATCCGTGAAGAAAACCAAAACGTGAGGCAGAAAGGACCTCCCGAAGGGCTTGCACTGCCCCCCTCGTTGTAGGCCTGCCCCCGCTCCCAGCTCCTCCCACCGGCTCAGAGCTCTGGCCCCAGCAGCCCCGTTTCTCCTGCTGAATCACATTTCCCAGTTCAAGTGAAAAACTTATCTTTTATTAGCCATTTACATTCTGTTCCTTCTCCCATCCTGGGAATTAATGAAAAGGAACTCTTACCTCGGCCAGGTGGCTCAGTTGTTGGTGTGTCAGTCCATACACTGAAAGGTTGCAGGTTCGATTCCACATCAGGACACATAGTACCTACGTTGCAGGTTCGGTTCCCTGTTGGGTGGTGTTTCTCTCTCTCTTCTTCTCTTTAAAAATCAATAAACATATCCTCTGGGAGGATTAATAAAAGGAGGGGAGGGGGAACTCCTGATCTCATTTCCCCTGCGGGCTTCCACCCACATCTCTGCACCCATTCACAACAGAACTTCTCCCCCCTCTGCCCTCACACCCTCTGCTGAATTGATTCCCTCAGACGAGGCCTCGTGGTCCTGAGTCACCGTCTGAGCTGGCCTGTCAGCCTCACTGCGTCTGGCTTTGGCCCTTTTTTCCTTGAAATGGTTTCCTCCCTTCTGGTGTTCCGTGAGCCCCGAAAGGTTGGCGACCGCTGTCCCAGGCACCACCGTGCTGGTTTCCTCCCGTCTCTGTTCTCTTGGTTCTCTGCGTGGCTCTTCACGTCTCTGCGTTCTGACGTTAGCGTGCCCAGGACTCAGCAGTTAAGCTCCCATCCTCTCCTGTGGTTACTCTCTTCCTGATGTATCTGGCTCCTTGGCTTTCCTGTCTCTAATCTGATGACTCTTCAGCTTGTCACCCCAGCCCAGACCTGTTCCTTGAGCCTCAGACTCAAACACCATCCAGTTCCCATCTCACCATTAACCCGCCCACAGTCGAGCTCCTGATGCTTCCTCACATGTCATCCTCCCCCAGGACCCCGTCCCAGTAAATGACATTTATTTATGACATTATAAATGACAAAAATAAATAAATATTTTCCCCCCTATTTGCTTAAGCCTGGGCATCATCTCCTCTGTTTACCTTATACTCTAGCTGCGGGTCATGAAAACTCTCCCTGTAAAGGGCCAGGAAGTAAATAACTTTGGCCTTGAAGGCTGGGTGGTCTCTGCCACAGCTGTTCTCCACCCTGTGGCACAAACACAAGCACAGACGATATGCAAATGAAGGAGCGTGGCTGTGTTCCAATAAAGCTTTATTCAGATGTGGCCCACGGACTAGCTTCCTGACCCTTACTCCAGGTCCATCAGCAAAATAGAACCTGACCAGATTCTCCCCCCCACCTCGCCCGTCCTGCTGCCACCCAGGTCCCAGGCACCTGCACGGCCTGCCTGGGTGCTGGGGGCCTCACTGGTCTCGCCAGGCCCTCCCCGGACGCAGAGTGGAGCCAGTGGGTCCCTCTAAAGCATAAGGACCACGTCATACAGCAGCAGCGTCAGCATCACAGCCAGCTCATTCCCATGCCCACACGCAGGTACAGAAGCCTGGGACAGCCTCTGTGCTGTGACGTCCTAATTGTGTTTCTCACATAGCCGCCATTAGTCATAATCACAGGCAGGGAGATGCTGCCGGCCATGCCCTTGGCAGGTTAGAGAGACAAATTTGCATGAATCTATTCAGTAAACAAGTTTAAACAGAACAAAGCAGGAGACAAACCCCTCATAAAAAGGTCGAGCCAGTTCAAAACCCTGCACTGGCTCCCTGCCTCCCCGGCCAGGGCTGCGTGCGGCCGACCCTGCTGCCGGCCCGACCTCCTCTCAGCACTCTCCTCACTTCCTCTGCTCCGGCCATGCTGGCTTCCCTGCTGTTCTGGAACATTCCAGGCGTGATCCCTGCATGGGCCTTTGTATTTTTTGTTTCTGTGCCTAGAATGCTCGTGCCCTAAAATCCACAGGCTTTTTTGCTTAACTCTCCAGATGTTTATTTGTCACTTTCTCAATAACACCTTCCTTGGCCGCCCTGTCTGAAACCACAGCCCCTCTCCACACAGATGGTTTTTCCTGGGCCGACGTGGCACATGCGCTCCCTGCATGTCCTGTTTCCTCTGCCCCCTCCTAGAGGGCCCGGGCTCTGTCCCCAGAGCCTCTAACAGTGCAGCACCTGATAGGCACCGAATAAAAGATCTGCTGAATTAGTCAATCGCAAGAGAAAATGACCAGAATGACATAAGCATGTGTAGCTTAAAAAAATCTCAAGCCTGGCTGATGTGGCTCAGCATTTGAGGACACAGACCCAGGTTGTGGGCTTGATCCCCAGGGGGCATGTGCAGGAGGCAGCTGATCAGTGATTCTCTCTCATCATTGGTGTTTCTCTCTCTCTCTTTCCTTCTCCTTTCCTCTACCTTTAAAAACAATTGAAAAAACATTTTTTTTAAATCTCAAGAAGATAAAATAGTGTTTGTGTAAGAGAGAGAGAGAGGAAGAGAGAGAGAGGGAGAGACAAAGGGAGAGAGAGAGAGAAAGAGAGAGAGAGAGAGAGAGAGAGAGGAGGGGGGGATAGAGAGAGATACTGGAACCAAGCTAGAGTTGCAGCTTACCTATAGGCATTTGGTTTGGTTTATACCTAAAAGGGAATATCATTCAGGAAATACTTCAATGCTAGGAACAAAAACTTACAAAAATAAAACCCTATTAAAAACAAAATCTAGCCTTCCCACACAGAATGCGTAATTCTTTAACAGGATCCTAGTAGTCACAGCAGTTTGGGAAGCTGCCATTTTGAAAGTTTAATTCATATTTTATTGCGCAGACATGGCTCTCTCTGTTCTTTGTTATATGCACCCTCATTCTTCAAAGTTGGTATGGAGAGATTTTACTCCTCTTCTGAAAGAGGATCAGAGGTTTGTCTGTTTTTTAATTCTTTAGTGTCTGGTTTTATGGACGTGAAGGGGGGTTATCTATGCCTTAAAGCTTGGCCTCCTGGTAGTGATTTCTCAAGTTAAGGGTGGGAGCAGGTGAAGACAGATGCATGCGTGTGTGGTTTGAGAACAAAGCAGTATTTTGTACAAGTGCTTTGATTGGTTTGACTCATGATATTGAATTCATATTGATTCTGAATGAAGTCAGACCATCTGGTTTTTAAGTTTCAGAAAGGAGTGGGGTCATGTGGTTGTACAGATGGAGGAACTAGTAAACAGAATTAATTCTGGGAGGATTGCCCCACTTGACCCAGAATGAGAGGCTCACGTGGAGAGTTCAGGAAGAGAGCACGCAGGTGATCTCCTGGATGTGTTAGAGAAACCCTAGAGGCCTGGCACACGAGATGCGTACACAGGTAGCATCCCCAGAGCCTTCCCTTCCCTGGCTGCCAGCTGGCCCTTCCTTCTGCACCGACCCCTGTGGTCAGCACACGTCCTAGTGAGCAGTCCAACTCCTGAGGGGACAATTTGCATATTAGCCTTTTATTATATAGGATTAAAAAGCAGTCCATTAGCTTGAGTGGAATACTCTGGCACTGTATTGCTATGGGCTGTTGTACACAGAGTGTAGCTATAGTATGTGATATTACAAATACAGGTTTTCAGACAGTGTACTGTAATTATCAGTTTATTCTAAGGCCTGGTTTTATCAGATAGGCTTTTTAAATATGCTGACCTGCTATCCTATAAAAATTGTTGAAGTTTATTATTGATTCATTTTTATTAAAAAATTCTCAGACCTTTGATTGTGATAGATAAGTCAATGTTCTCCTAACATCATTATTGGTGCTCTGTTATCTAATCCTTCAATAAATATTTACTGAGAACCTAGTTTGCATTACACTTCTTGAATTAATGAATTTAAAGTTTTGCTGTCTTCCACAAGCTTCTCAGAATTCTCACTACATTAGATGTTTTCCATATTTTCCTTGAGTCTACTTAGGAACACTCACAATTTCATTTCTCTTTTCCTTCATGAGACCTGCAGAAGTTGTAATAAAGAGATATATATTAAAATTGCTATCAGAACTATTATAGATAAATGTTTTGTAACATTCTTCAATGGAGAGGTATCAAGGGGTGGCCACTTTCTCGGAATGCTGGGATGGTTAAAATGTTATCCACTTGGTGGTAGTTTCAGCTACAACTGGTAACTCAAGTTGTTTTGATTTTGTTTTTGAAGAAATGTCAGTCTCATTTTCCTTTCACCACAATAGGTATATGCAGGGTGTCCCAAAAATGTATATATACATTGAATACCACAATTAATTCCAGTGGGTTACATCTAAAGAAACATCAGTTGAGTTGTCAGCTGTTAAACTGTGTATACATTTTTTAAACACCCTGTATTTTGTATTTTTATTAACCTATATTTTTGAAGTACTTGTAAATGTCTGGATATTCAGAGAGTTAAAGTACTTTTTAAAATCCATGAAAACCTGGTTTTAAAGACATCGATGAGAAATCCGTCCCTGTGCACATGCGGTTCCCTCCCCTGGAAGCTCTGTGAGGGCAAAGACAGCTCAATTTTTTAATAAAAATGAATCAATAATAAACTTCCTTTTACCCCGGCTGCCACTCAGTAGTGCATGACCTGTATTTAGCATTAGCTCAGGGAGGTCTATTTGCATGCTTTCAACATTTTATTATGACAAGTTAATGCAGACAGCAGATTTGAAAGAATTTTGCAATGAACACCTATAAACCCACCACCTGTATCCTTCCATTAACATTTTAGTGTATTTGCTTTATCACACCTCTCCATCTGCATGTCTGTATATCCCTTCATTGATGTATCTTATTTTTGGTACATTTCAAGGATTTTCCTGGCCCGTGACGGAGGCTAATTTGTATTCCAGGATCAGTGTAAATGAGCGAAAAAAAAGTTGATGAGGAATCAGTTCTAGATATTAGATATAGCTCTATTACTGACATCATATGATGTATGTTGATAAGTTATGACTAATTGTTAATGTTCTTATGGTTTTAATACTACTTTTGCATTGAGTGTCATCTTTTGTTAGAAACTAGAGGTCCGATGCACAAAATACGAGCAAGGGGCTTGGCCCTCCTGGCCCCTGCAACTGGCTCGGCCCTTACAGTCACCGCAGCTGCTCTGGCTCCATCCAGAAAGTCATCCAGATGGTCGTTCTGCTGTTGGGCCATTCGATTGATTTGCATATTACGCTTTTATTATATAGGATGCTTCGATTGCTGACTGTCACAATGGTGTGCACACTTACTGTTGTCATTATAAATGGTTTCACTGCTATTTCACATGAGACTTAACGTTCATGTCTTTTTCTGACTAGGAGTGGCCCATCGAAGCCAGAGCAGTGAAGGAGTCAGTTCTCTCAGCAGCTCGCCCTCCAATAGCCTTGAAACGCAGTCGCAGTCTCTCTCCCGTTCCCAGAGCATGGATATTGACGGTGTCTCTTGTGAGAAAAGGTAAAGTGAGCCCATTTCCCCACAAAGTGGATTTATGGAAAGAGAAAGAGCCATTCAGTTTAGTCTCCAGTCATTAGTCTCAGATGTCAGCCCAGAGGTCCTGCCAGTCCATAGCAAATTAGAGCTAAATTTATTAAACTTAAAGCTCTTGTATTATTCGTAAGTGTTCTTTATACCATTTTTATGTTTTTGGTGTTTTTATGTTCTTTATACCATTTTTATGTCTTTTGTGAAATAATGGTGTAGGTGGTAAAAAATGTTTTTAATTTCTTAATGTCTTGAAAAACAAAAATTGACATCATCTGTCAGTATTTCTTCTAAATTTTACCCATCAGTGAAAATTGAAAATGTGGATGGAGCTCAGTAAGTGGACTGATCCGGCTGAGCCAGGCAGTCTAAAAGCTCTGTAAGGACCGGCTGTCCTGGCGCAGAGCTTCCTGTGCTGCGGGTGCACCAGGACAGGTGATAGAGTGGCCGAGGCGTTCATTTCTTTATTCCTTGGGCCTGCCAGCCACCACCCCAACTCCCAGACCCATTTCCACTGCCCTCAGCTGCCTCTCTGTTTATGCCAGTAGGCCAGACAATACTACCTTCTCTGTGTGTGATGATATGAAAAAGGTTGAGCAGTACTAGAACAGAGCTTCAGTAGTTGGGTGGGATTGGGGGTGAGGAACCAGAAGAGCGATCACACACATTAGGCAAGAATTCTGGAAGGTCAGCACTCTCAGGGAAAAGATCAAGTTGACCCCGTGGAGTAAAAACAATTTTGTTCTTATTACCTTTGCTTTGAATACATGTATTTTCTTTAAAATATATATATATATATATATGTTTATTGATTTCAGAGAGGGAGAGATAGAAACATCAATGATGAAAGAGAATTATTGATCCGCTACCTCCTGCATGCCCTCCACTGGTTTGGAAGCCATTATCAAAAAATAAATGGCTGAAATATAAAATAATATTGAATGTTAATTGCAAATTAAAAAAAAAAAAGATAAATGTCTGAGAATTTCTCTAGAGTTGATGAATGATATGAATCTCCAGATTCAGGAAGCCCAGCAACTTGCAAACAGGTTAAACAAAAAGCAAATTCTATCTAGACGTCTCTGAGTAAAATTGTAGAATACCAAAGAGAAAGACCTCTAAGTAGTCAGAAAGGGGATTATTAGATGTCTCAATGATGGCAGCCAGAGGATGTTGGAGTAAGCGTTGAATGCTGTCAGGAAGTCTACTGGAAAGTGTGTACCTTTTGGAACGATCTTTTAAGAGCAAGGGTGAAATAAGACATCTGTAGATTAAAAACAACAAAACAGCCTGATAGCCTGCAATAAAAGACCCCCAGCTATTTTAAAAATATATATTTTATTGATTTCAGAGAGGAAGGGAGAGGGAGAAATAGATAGAAACATCAATGATGAAAGATTATTGATTGGCTGCCTCCTGCATGCCCCCTACTGGGGATTGAGCCCACAACCAGAGCATATGCCCTTGACTGGAATCAAAAACAGGACTCTTCAGTCCAAAGGCTGATGCTCTATCCACTAAGCCAAACCCCCTAGGGCCCCCTAACTTTTTTTTTTTTTAATATATTTTATTGATTTTTCACAGAGCGGAAGAGAGAGGGATAGAGAGTTAGAAACATCGATGAGAGAGAGTCATCGACCAGCTGCCCCCTGCACACCCCCTACTGGGGATGTGCCCGCAACCAAGGTACATGCCCTTGACCGGAATCGAACCCGGGACCCTTCAGTCCGCAAGCTGACGCTCTATCCACTGAGCCAAACCGGTGCCGGCGCCCCCTAACTTTTTAACAGATGTAGTTAAGGAAGAAAATGATATCAGGAATAATATCTGACATGCAAGAAGGAAGGATGAGTGAAGAAAATAATAAACACTGATGGTATAATAAAGCAATAATTACAGTGTAGGAAAATCCGTCTACATTTAGCTGGCCAGCAGTAGGTCAGCCGTAAAGGGAGAGGGGTGGGGCAGGAGTCATTGACCCAGGCAAGATTTAAAGTCCTTGTATGCTTGAGAAAAGGGGTAAAGATACTGGCCAACTTTTTTTTTTTTTTTTTTTTTTTTTTTTTTTTTTTTTAAGATACTGGCAAGTTTTAGATTTTGAGTTAAGAATACTTGGTTAAATTTCAAGGGTGGCCACTAATAGAATGGAAATAGAGTATATCTTCCAAACCAGTAAAAGGAAAATATGGAACCATGGTGAGTAGGTGGGAGAGTGGAGGTAAGTCAATTCAAAGAAAGGGAAAGAAGAAACTAGTTTCTAAAAAGAGACAAATAGCACAAAATAAGAGGGTCAAAAGAAATGAAAATATGTCAGCGGTTATAGCATATCACAGTGAAAAGGAATAGGTTGTATTGAAAACAAAACAGAACCCAGCTTTATACCTGTTTATAAAAGGAATATCTAAAACATTAGGTTAGAGAAGGTTAAAAATAAAAAAGATAAAGAAAGGTGTACCAGGCAAACATAACAAAGTAAACAAAAGAAACTTGGGGTAAGCATATTAATGAAGTAGACTTTAAGGCACAAAGTATTACTAGATAAGCACTATATAATGACAAATTTGTTTATCTGTAGGATTGAGCAGTTCTGAAATTCTGTGTATTTAGTAATATAACAGCAATATGCAATAAAGCAAATATTGACAGAACTAGAAGAAACTGACACAGTCATAGTGGGAGTGTTTTAACAATAAATCATTTATCAATAGATTAAAGAGAATAAATATGAGGAAACATATGGACAAATTAAACAACCAGCCGGCAAGCTTGATGCAGTGGAAAGATACAGAGCTTTGCACTGTACAGTTGGAGAACACACATTGTTTTCCTAATACTCACTAACCAAGAAGTTTCAAGAGTCAGTATCTTACAGGTCATGTTTTCTCATTAGCATTAGGTTTGATAATTGGGGGGGGAGGGGAGACTTATTTTATAAATATATTTTTATTGATTCAGAGAGGAAGGGAGAGAGATAGAAACATCAACGATGAGACTCATTGATCAGCTGCCTCCTGCCCGCCCCCTACCAGGGATCTAGCCAACAACCTGAGCATGTGCCCTTGACTGGAATCAAACCCGGGGCCCTTAGATCTGCAGGCCAACCTTCCATCCACTGAACCAAACCAGTTAGGGCAAAAAACTTTTTTTAAAAAACCTTAAGACACTGGGGGAGATAAGAGATCAACCGAAGGACTTGTGTGCATGCATATAAGTACAACCAATGGACACAAAACTCTGGGGAGGGAGGGCATGTATGGGAATGGGGGGTGGGGGCAATGGTAAGATATGTACACAGATAATAATTTAATTTTTAAAAAATAAAAAAATAAAAAATAAACAAACAAAAAAACAACCTTAAGACATTTGTAAATTTTAGAAATGGAGTATGCTTTTATATACAGGTTAAAGAAAAAAGCACAATGAAAGTATGTGGGATGAACAGTAACAAATATTATAAATCATGATCTGTGTGTTGCAGCTAACGTGGCCCTTAGAAGAAAATACTGTAGAAAGCTGTCATATATTAAAAAGGAAAGAAAGAATACAAGTAGATACTGGGACTAAGAACCTGTTGTTTGGAATGCTCTTCTCCTGGGCATGGATGGGGTTAAGCTCCTTCACTGTTTTGCTCAGCTGGCATTTCTCAGTGGGGCTCACCCCATTTCAAGCAGAAAACCCTGCACTCTCAGTTGCCTTTTCCCTGTTTCTTTTTCATTAATTTTTCCATAGCACTTACCATACTATGTGCTTTGCTTATTTGTTTATTGTTTATTCTTTTTAAAAAAAATTTTTTTTATTGATTTCTGAAAAGAAGGGAGAAGGCGAAGGAGAGAGATAGAATCATCAATGATGAGAGAGAATCATTGATCAGCTGCTTCCTGCACACCCTCTACTGGGGATGGAGCCCACAGACCCCGGCGTGTGCTCTGACCCGGAAATGAACCGTGACTCCTGGTTCATAGGTTGACGCTTAACCACTGAGCCACCCAGAGGCCAGGCTGTTGATTCTCTTTCTAGCTCTAGATGGGATGGATGCTCCATGATGCCGTGATTTATTTATTTAAAAAAAATTTTTTTTGGCCTTTTTTGTTGATTAACATTTCAGACACCAAGCACAAGCCCTCCATAGAATGGACGCTCAGTAATATTTGTTATTGAAAGGGGGAATTCCATGAAAAATGTGAATATGCAAATGCAAATAAATTTGAAAAATTGGATGAAAATCAAATTCCTAGAAAAACATATTTTCTCCCAAAATTGAATAAAAAAAGAGAAGACCTGAATAATAATTTAAAAAACACATGAAGTAAATTGAATCAGTATTTTAAAATTTTCAACTAAAGAACCCTGCTCATGTAATTTTATAGGTTAATGTGATATGAGAAATACAATATAATATGATCAACTTCAGTTTATGTCAGGAATCCAGGGGTGCTTTAATGTTAGAAAATCTATAAATATTACTCACCATAATCTAAAAGAGAAAAGCCATTGCAAATTGTGCTGAACTTCAACATAACTGATGATAAAAATTTTAACAAACGGGTTACAGAAAGGTGCGTCCTTAAACCGACAGTAGCAGAGATAGAATTAACAAAATAATCACATCGTCCCCTGCACTTCCAGTCTCCTTTGCAGCTAGGTTGGGGTCAGGTGACTAGTTCTGTCCCATAGACTGGGGGTGGAAGTGACATGTGTCACTTTTAGGAAAGGCAGTTGAGCCGAAGTTCCTCCTCCGTCCCTCTCTTCTCTTGCTCCAGTGACCTGGGAGGCTGAGTATTGCAGATGGCATAGATTAAAGATGAAGTAAGGATGCTTCACTCTCACCAGACTTTGCGTAAGCAAGAAATAAACCCTTATAGTGTTAAGCCTCTAAGATTTCAGAGTATATGTGTTACCGCAGCATAGCCTATCTTATTCTGACTAATATAAAGAACATCTGCCAGAAAATCACAGCGCTCTTGTTTTCAGTGGCGAGGAGTTAGAAACACTCCTTTTAGAATCAGTAATAAGAACAGAATGACTGTTATTTCTGCTTCTCTTTGCCATGGGGATCCTACCCCGTGCAGTGAGCAAGTAGGGATTGGAGTGGAAGAAACAAGACACTTATTGTTCAAAGATAAAATGATTATCTACCTAGTGAGCCCTATTTATAAGTAAAGTTGCTTAAAATAGATCTCCAAAATCAGTTACATTACTGTGTACTAACAACAAAAAATTAGAAAATTTAATTTTTAAAAAGGTACCATTCATAATTTAATTTAAAAACATATGGTACATAGGTATAAACTGAGCGAAGGAAGTGAAAGACTTGTGGAGAAAATTATAAAAGTTTATCCAAAGACCTTAATGAACTCAGTAACCGAATGATGCCATTTCTCCTCACTTTGATCTCTGGAGTCAGTGAAATTCTAGTCAAAATCCTAACAGAGTATTTAAGGAACCTGGCAAGCGAATGCTTAGTTATGTATGCAAAAGCAACAGGCCAAGAAAGGCCAAGACTCTCCTAAAGCAGAAGAACCAGGTGGAGGCATTGAGCCGGCAGGTATCAAGACTTAGTGTGAAGTTTTAGTAAGAGAGCGTGGTATTGGCTCAGGGACAAACAGATGGTCTAATGGAACAGAAACCAGTGTCCAGAAATAGACCCACACATATACTACATAATAGGACATATGAGTAGGTGTCTTCATATTAGTGTAAAAATGATGGTCTTGTCAATAAATGGTCCTGGGACATTTATTTAATGTGGGGGAAATTCTATATGTTCTTAACAAGATTTTATAATCAGGCTCTGAGTGATTGTATATAGCTTACCATAATATGTGTAGAAAATAAGTTCTAACTACTTTTTTGAAAGTGAGCCTAAGAAAATGACAACTTGGGAAAAATTCTAAAATTATGATAGAATGTTTATATCTTACTATATGAAGAGAGCTCTTTAAAGAATTAATAGGGGGGGAAAGAACGAACCTTTACTATTTCGCTTTGCGGACTGATTTTGATTGATATTTAAAAACTTCCTCAGCCCGAGGCTGGGACATTGGTGGCTTTATGAAAGGTAAAAGACTTATTTGTCTTTTGTACTTAAAGCATGTCCCAGGTGGATGTGGATTCAGGAATTGAAAATATGGAAGTGGATGAGAATGATCGACGAGAAAAAAGGAGCCTCAGCGACAAGGTGGGTAGGAGGGAGCTTGGCTTCTGTTGGTAGATCAGGGGACACGACACAGGGAAACGGCGTCGTGTCTGCGGAGTCTGTCAGCAGATCCTGGTCAGGTGACTGGTTTTTTATTTTGAGGAAAAACGGGTAGCCCCGCCTGCCCTCACTAATGGAAGTACAGCTCAGTCTTTAACAAAAATAATTATTTTTTATTGATTTCAGAGAGGAAGGGAGAGGGAGAGAATGAAACATCAGTGATGAGAGAGAATCCTTGATTGGTTGCCTCCTGCACTTCCCCACTGGGGAATCAAGCCCAGGCATGTGCCCTGACCAGAATCAACCTTGACGACCTACTTCATAGGTCGGCACTCAACCACTGAGCCGAGCCAGCTGGCCTAACTCAGTCCTTGTAACTGATAAAATTCTTCCCTTATCTTTGTTTCAGGCCCATGTTTCCAACAGGAAATTTGGTTTGTAATAGGAATTCATTCAGAGCTACTTTGAATGTTTTCTGTTGGTGTTTGGCTTAAGCAAGCAGATCCTCACGTCTTTGGGACTATTCCAAGGAAAATGACTGGAAGTTGAGACAGTACTAGGATGTGGGACTCAGCAACAAGAACAAACTTCTTGAAAACATAAAGTCTTCATATTTTGTTATCGTCTGAGTTCAGTTTCTATACTTAGAAGAAGGGAGTTGTGGGTTTTTTGCTATTCTGGGGGTGGTGAGGACCTGGTGTAGGTTATTGCATCACTTTCTGTTCAGCAAGTGATTCGAGTTCAGCAGCACGTGTTGTTGATGGTTAGAAATGGAGTGTAAGCAGTCTGATGCTTTATTTTGTGTAGTTCTTTAGTGTTGTAAGAAGTGTAGCTCTCACATCATAGTACTAGGTTTACCTTTCTCTGAATCAGTGGGTGAATAGCTCTCTGCATTTCTGAAATGAATTAAGTTGGGATTGAGTATTTCTATTCCGAGAAGTCTGACTCGGACCTCCCACTACTTGAACTTAACCCCAAAATCTCCTTCCTCACCAGGAGCCATCGTCGGGTTCGGAAGTGTCTGAAGAGCAGGCCTTACAGCTGGTCTGTAAGATCTTTCGTGTCTCCTGGAAGGACCGGGACAGAGATGTCATCTTTCTTTCTTCTCTCTCTGCGCAATTTAAGCAGAACCCAAAAGAAGGTAGGACTCCAGCTCAGCCGTCCTATTTCAGGGAGCTGTCCTTAAGGGGAAATGAGAACATGAGGTCTTGCCCTTTCCTGCTGTCCCGTCACCCTGTCCTGCTCTGGGTGGGGGTTTGAAAACAGGGGTCCTTCTTGGTGAGGGTGCTGATGTCTGGCGACTTTCTACTGACCTCCTCAGTACATTTCTTTTTTACTTTCCGATTCCCTAAAAGAAAACAGTATAAGTTAGTTAATAGTGTCCCTTGTCTCAGGGTTGACATTTTTTTCCTCTGTAAAAAGAAGATGCTTAGAGCATTAGCACCTTTTAAAAGCTGGAGCATTCTGGGTAGTCTCCAGGGACCCTGGGAGAGGCGCTCTGTATGGCCTGCACCTGCCTTCAGTGCCTCCCCGCCTTTGTGGACAGGAGTAAATCTGCTGAATTCAATTGCTTAGCACGATTGGACATATTGATATTTGCTGCGTTCCCAGTATTCTATTTTAAGAAGCTGCACTATACCACACTTACAGCGAAGTAATAAAACAGCATGGCCGCCATTTGGAATGCAGAATAGGTGGGGGAGGTGGGCAAGCGTGTTCTCTTGCACGTCACAGCAGTGCTGCTGGCAGGGGTTTTGTCTGGTTTGATGCATTCCCAGTGCCAAGAAGGGTGCCTTGCATTTAATCTCTCATTACATGCATTTTATTTTTATTGATTTTAGAGAGAAAGGGAGAGGGATAGAAACATCAGTGATGAGAGAGAATTGTTGATTGGGCACTGGGGATCGAGCCCTCAACCTGGACATGTGCCCTGACCGGGAATCGAACCCATGGCCTCTTGGTTCCTGGGTTGATGCTCAAACTGCTGAGCCACACCAGCTGGGCTATAATTTTTAATAGCCAAATCAGATAAGACTTGCCTGCGTCAGAACTGTTATTTATGTAGTGATGTTTAAAATGGATTTAAGACCTACATACAGTGAAGCAGTTGGGAGCTGCAGAGCGTGAGAAGGAAGCTAAGCAGTGGGAATCTGCTCCAGAAAGCCAGCCTGTGACTAGAAATCAGACCCTTCATAAAACACTTTGAACTTTGTGCTTGATAGTTTTACGGTGTATAAAATATATATAGGAGAACAAATATTAACCCAGTTGCATTTCTAGTCTGATAAACTAACCTCTAGTTGGGAGTAACTTTTTTACAGCTAATACATGTCAGTAGTAACTCACTGACTGCACTCTAATAATTTTTTTTTATTAATGAGGTTTGTATTTTGGAATAATTCTAGATTTCTAGAACAGTGTCGAGAGCATAGGGATTTCTGCATCCTCCACCCAGTTCCCCCAGAGTTAACATCTTACACAGCCACCGGAGACTTGTCAAAAGCAAGACATCCCTGTGAGCTGCACCTCAGGCCTGATTCGGATTCCTCCATTCTCCACTGACCTCTCTTTCCTGTTCCAGGTCCAGCCCAGGCCGGGGCCCCTCAACGCACCTCCGGTTCCCTTTGGCTTTTTCAAAGACTGTATTTGAAGAACCACGTGTAACCTCCCTTTTATTCTGCCTTTCCAACAGTGTTCTCTGATTTTAAGGACTTGATTGGCCAGATTTTAATGGAAGTGCTAATGATGTCCACTCAGACTAGAGACGAGAACCCATTCGCCAGCCTGACAGCCACATCCCAGCCAATCGCCGCGGCAGCTCGGTCACCAGACAGGAACCTCACCCTGAACACTGGCTCGGGCCCTGGAACGAGCCCCATGTTCTGCAGCGTGGGGTCCTTCGGCGCCAGCTCTATGTCTAGGTCAGTGGTTCTTTTCACACATGTGAGTGGCAGAGATGGCCACGCATGTGTAGGAGCAGCGAGCGTGCCACCAGATTACCGCAGGGCCATATTCGGGGGCCTGGTTGGGTCACTGAAGGAGGCGCTGTCTTTTTCAGATGGGTCTCTGGCTTCCCATGCTTTGGCTTTTGGTAAATTAAAATTTAGAAATAAATATTGTACATTATTCTTTGGCATGAAGGCCTTAGAATATTACAAGTAAACTTCTAGACCTGAACAGCAATGAGATGGTTCTTATTTAGGTATCTGAAAGATTTGTATACTTGAATGCTTAGCGATGTGAAGTGTGACTATACTGTTCTTTAAAAGCTTGATATTTTCCATTTTAATGATTTATCTGAAGTTTTTCTTCCCTTTTCTCTTCTTCCCTCCTCTTCGCACCTAATTCAGCCTCTATGACACTAGCCCCTCTCCCAGCGCGAGCTTCTGGAGCTCTGTGCCGGCCAGCGGCCTGCCTCTCGCCTCCCCCTCTGGGCACATGGCTGTGCCTTCCACTTCCCTCAGTGCTCCTGGCCCGGCCCCCGGCCCCGGAAGCCAGCCGCCATCGCCATCGCCTCGGTATCGCCCCTACACGGTCACCCACCCCGGGGGGCCTCCCATCTCTCCCACCCCGAGGTCCCCAGGCATCGCCCTTCTGGCCAGCTCCCCGGGCCTCCCCGCCCTCGCTACTGGTCCTCAAGCAGTGCCGGCCAGCTCCTCCCGCCAGAGGGCCACCAGCGCGGGGCCAGCTCTCCTGCCCGCCTCGCCCGGTGCCTTGAGCAGACGCCCCTCCTCCCTCAGGACGTCTCCTAGGTATTCATGTGGCAGGAGAGCGGCGTGTGTGCGGTGCAGGGACGCAGGTTAACGGTGTGGAAGGCCTGTCGTGTGACACTGACCGCAGCTGCCTGGGTTTTCCGTTGGGCCATTAACCCGTGTGTCTAACTAGTTTGGTAGGCTCGCGCCCTGACTCCCTGCTTCTGCCCGGCTTGGGTGGCACCAGAAAGCATGGGTGGCTCTGTCGTGGGCACCTTTGTTCCCTACCGTCCCCTTACCTTTTCTGTGTCCCATAAAAAGAAAAGTAAGGAAGAAAAAGTAACTGAGTTTTTCAAGTTGAATTCACATGTCAGTTCCTCATCACAGACGAATTTCAGAGGCTGTAGGCAGTTTGTATTGGAGAGCTGGGATCACAGAACCACTTTCTGACTTTTCTGCTGTTGACGGTGACAGCTGAAATATAGGCAGACCAAGCGGTGGTGGGCAGAGCTGGGCCTGGTGTCCCTCAGCGCTGGTCTCTAGGCTGGACCAGCGTTTGCGCCTTGACTCTGACTGCAGCCCTAGCAGACTTCCACCAGCCAGTGCCCTCCCACGGGTCCCTGTGCATCCCCGTAGCTCAGGGGAACCCTCTCCTGCATGTCCGTAGAGAACACTTCCGGCATCAGATGTAACTAACCGGACAGCAAACGCTCTCGCCCTCTGGTTTTTCCTTTGCTCCTGACCACCTTTTTTGCTTTTGTTGTGGTAGTATGTACGACAGTCCTTTCTCCTTCCTCTTCCTCGCGCTTTCTGGGGACAGTAGTGATGATGATGATGAAGAAGAAGAAGATGATGATGGTGATGATGAAGGTGTTGGTGGTGGTGATGAGTTTTCTTGTGTCCAGTTTGGGTCCAGGTATCAGGAATGGAGTCTTACCCTGCATGTGCATAGGTGCTTAGGAACTAACTTCCGTAAGCCCTGGCCAGGGGGTGCTTTGAATCCCAACGGCATAGGGTCAGGCGCGCCCACTGAGAGTGAGGATGTGAGCAGTTGCATGTACTGAGATGCTAGGACCCTCTCGTGGGGTAAAGGGCACATAGGAAATCTCCATAGTTGTTGCTGGTAAGTTTGGAAAAAACTTACATATAATCATTTGTCTAAAACATGAATAAGAGTAGCGATGAGTCACCATTAACTTCACCCACCCTAAGTTCTACACGCAAGGACCCTTCACTCATCTGTTGTGAGGATATTCTTGTGAGCTAGCAGATGTAGCAACATGTGCTCTGAGGCATGTTTTCCTGCATACAGCTGCATGGATGACTGCTCTTTAGGAATGGCAGAGGTGCTGGCGTGGGCGTGTGTGCGTGCTTACGTGTGCCCTGCCCCGGCTCAGTCTGGGCAATTGGTTGATGAGCATACGGGGTCATAATTCCAGTGTAATTGTGAATCTGCTTTTATGTCTAACCTTGCTTTCACTGATTGCCTCCCTGACCTCAGTGAAGCTAGACTCTGCTTGTTTATTTTTTAAAAAAAATATGTTTTTATTGATATTTAGAGAGAGAGGCAGGGAGAAGGATAGAGAGATAGAAACGTCAATGAGAGGAACATCACTGAGCAGCTGCCTCCTGCAAGGCCCGTACTGGGGATCAAGCCCATAATCTAGGCATGTGCCCTGACCATGACCTCTTGGTTCCTGAGCCGACCCTCAGCCCCTGAGCCAAACCAGCCGGGCAGCCCCTGCTTGCTTAGATGGCCTTTGGACTGGCAGCAGAGGCCTAAACACGGGGCATCAGTATTGCTGAGTGTCCACTCCTGCCAAACGCGACTTGGGTTGTCCAGGTGACTTGGGAAAAGAACACACAGTAGCCCGTCTTCCTAACCCTCTGACTCATTGCCTTACAGTTTTGCTCTTAAATTGACGCTTCCTCCGGGCTAAGTGGGTATTGGTGCCCAGCACTGTTCAAAAATAACCCCAGGCTAAAAAAATAAATAAATAAATAAATAAATAAATAACCCAGGCTATAAATAGAGCCGGCCGTGGGTACACCTCATTACCTCTGACGGTGTGCAGAGGACTGAGTGTGTAAAGAGAGGACCGACCCACGAGGCTGCCTATTGACTCAGGAAGGCTGATGTTTGTGTTAGCTTGAACATTACCCCGCTCTTTCTTGAGTAAATTTCCCAGCCATAAAGGTGCCTTTTTCTTGTAGGAAAATTCTGTCACGTGATCATAGCTCCGCGGCAGGTATCCTCGTTAGGAATCAGTGTCCATGCACGATAAGTGCTTTGTTAGCCGTTTGTGAGTTATCTGTGGGAGATCCTCTCTCCCTGGCCTATTTAAGCCCAGCTTTCCCTAACAAAGATATCAGATGGCGTGCCGCTGTCACTTGTCTCAGATCTAGATCCTACACCTACCGGGAGAAGTAGCGCTCAGGGTTGTGTAATAACAGCTGCGCATACTCACTGAGCATCACGTGCCAGCCACTGTCAGTGCTGCGTTCATTGCCACCTTAATCCGCCCAGCAGCCCTCCTCCTCCTCCCCCGGTGAGAACTGGGCCATCGGGAGGGGGGCGGTCACGTGACGAGGCCGCGCAGAGCCTGGGTCAGAGCCCCTGGGCCATCTCTGTCCTATGGCTGTGTTGTTCCCGTTCTTACTGGTTCTTAGCTGCCAAGAGCATCTCTGTTCTGTGCAAGAACATTTGACTGTAATTCCAGAATCCCATCCCAGTCAGCAGGCGCACCCTTTGCTGGCTGTCAAAATGAAATCTGTTCTTTCCGCATTTTGGCAACTTATAGGTTCTGAATAGATATCAAACAGTATAAAAGAATGGGTAAAAAGACATAATCGATGAAACAGATAGAGAGGAACTTGAGCACGTTGCTAGAGCCAGAACCAGGAAGAGGCAGCCAAACCTGTTAATTGCGCTCAGCAAATGGTTTGTTCCTTTTCCCCTCTCCAGTGGATCATCTCAGAGTTTTATTTCCTTTGAAGGGAGATTTGAACACCCACTTCTTACCTGTAAGATGAAGGCGAGGGAGGAATCGGCAGGGCTGATAGCTGGCCCCTCCAGGTGTCCCGTGGTGTTGATGTCATGCAGATCTTTCTGGAAGTAGTCTGGAACATGTTCCTATGTTCATCCCTTCATTGCTTAGAGCGGCCATGCTCAGGGTTAATGAAAGGAAGGCAGGGTCATTCCTTCCGCAGTGCCGTGTGTCCCCTGCGGGGAGAGCTGTGTGGACTGTAAGGAACCACTTCTCCCAGGCGTGGGAATGGTGAGGTGAGAGATTGTCTGTGATAAAGATAACACAGGAGTTATTCCGAGGAAAGTTTTCCTCATTGTTTCCTAGGAAGTGGATGACTGGAAAGAAATATCCCAGTGAAGCAGATAAAATCTTGAAAGTCATGAGCCTCTGAGCAGGAAGAGAAAACTGACAAGATAGTGAAAATTGGCGTTTATTCTGATTTGTGCTGGCCATCACTACTGGTCAATAAAACATGGAAATAGTCTAAAAGAAAACCTTCCAGTGACTTCCCTCCTCACTTAGACTAAAACACAAAGCCTCTCACCCTGGCCTACAAGACCGCGCAGCTCACGTGCACAAATGCGCACAAATGCACACATACAACACACGCCTCCCGCCTCCCTCCTCCAGCTTGTGCACTCCACCCTGCTCTTGAGCTCACTCAGCATACCTCCTTCTGCCTCAGGCCTTTGTACTCGGTCGGCTGCCCGGCTCCTGCAGTCTGTGTGTAAAGACATCCTTATCAGACTGTCCCTGACCTGCTGTATGAGACGCATAAAACACGCACACGTCCCGCCCCGCTCTGTCCCCATCCCCTGCCTTTCTCCCCTCCAGAGCGCTGCTGTGTTCAGTCGTTTCTGAGCATCTCTTTGGAAACGTAGGTGCCCTAGGAACAGGTCTGCAGCTGTCTGACTCAGCGTGTGGCCCGGGACCCAGGGCCGGGCCTGGAAGCAGCAGGCACACTGCTTCCCTTGATACTGAGTGTGCTTCGCTTAAAGCTATACCGCCCTGATTTTATGCTGCATTGAGAAGATAGAAAATTGCAGGACCAAAAATAAAAAATTAAAAATTAAAAAAAGGGAAAGGAAAGGAAAGGAAATAGGAGATGATTGTTCTTCTTGTAGAAGAAAAGAAATTGCAATAGAATATTTTTAAGAAAAAAAATTTTTTTAATGGGATTTAGTTTGCACAGATCTGAGGCATGTGTAGTGTCCCCAGGAATATTTTCATTGTGTTTTCAGAAGGATTCAGGTATTATGTGAAGTAATCACATTATTAACGAGGACTGATGTGGTTTCAGAACATGGTTCATATGTTTTCCCAGAGATACTTTTAGGACTGACATATGACACATTCCCAATGTCACATTTCATGTGTCAGCAGTTATAAAACCATCATGAATTGTAACAGCATTTTTAGGAAAAAAAACAAATATTTAAAACATTTAAAGGGTTTCCGGATAGCACGGATTTGTGTATATAAGCTATCCACCACATTCTTCTTTAGTGTCTGTCATTCAGAATTTGACTCCAACTCTTTGACTTTGTACCCACAGCTCCTTCCAAGTGACTTTTGGCCTTGGAAGTGTAGGCAAAGCGATTGTTGGCTGGACTGGCTGGTCTTCTTACTGTGATCATGGTCTGCTTTAGCACCTTTAGGATTGAACTTACACCTTTGAATGATCAACTGGTGCTTACATGTCCTATTTAGTTAAACCTTTTTTTGTTTATTTCTTTTCTTCTTTCTTTTTCTTTCTCTTCTCTTGAAATCACCTGAAAGTGCTGCTTGGTGCCTGACAGATGGTCACCAATGGACACCAACCTCTCAGCTTTGAAAACTCTAGTATCTTCCCTTGCATTGCTGGCACCTGAGAAGCGGTCTCTCCATCACTGCCCTCTTCCTGCCTCAGCGCAGCCTTTGCGGAGATGTTTCAGTTGACGCTGAGGTGTCAGATTAGTTACAGTGGGGTGGAGGTGTTGGCAGACGGAACCCAATGTCCATGCCTGAGCTGCCACCACCTGAGCATGCCGGTGTCACAGGCAGTCCCCTGCCTCGACCGACTCCCCATGCAATAAGTATAAGGTGCTTTTCTCTTCAGAAATGTAAAAATGGAGAGATATGGGCTAAGGTCAAGAAAATGTATGGTTTTAAATTTCTTTTTTTAAACATGAGGAGTCTCTGTTTTCATTGTCATATGCAAGAGCTGCTCACAGGAAAGGTGACCTTGGTTGTGCGAAGGCACAGCCGTGTTGGCACAGTTCATCTCGGGGACCCGCAGCCCAGAGGAGGGGGAGGGTGGCAGGTGGTGGGAAGCTACAGTGAACACAAACATCTCTTTTCCCCTTTCTGCTTTCGGGGACTCATCGCACTTCTTACATTTGTGGGTGGGTTTTTCTGTTCTGTTCTTACAGTTTTTTTCCTGTGCTTTGTCACAGTACTCAACTTTCTGTTGTTGGCAGTGACCAGGTATCAGATCCTGCCCTTAATTCATGAAGAGTGCCCCAAAGTTAACAGACAAGAAGACACAAAAGTTAATTGTGTGTGTGTGTGTGTGTTTTAGGGTTCCCATGCTGGCCCACCCATCTTGGTCCTGGCTCTGTCCTGCGCTGTGTGGGTGCTAGTCACCCGTCAGAAGGGCCTTGGCTGCCTGCCCCCCAGCCTGACTCCTCCCTCCCTCTCTGTCACATCTAGCGGAAAGCCTATATTGTAGGAATTCAAATTTACTGGAAGCTTTGGATGTAAAATGGCATTGATTTCATCTTTTTGATTGAAATACTTGAAGGTCATTTGAAGGTCAGTTACGTATATTTTTCTAAAATCTAAGATTGGCTGTGAATATGCTCCAAATTAGTTTTGTGTGTCTCCCCATCTCTGTACGTAACACATTGTTAATGCATCAGTTCCTTTGCTTTTTAGTTTCTAGCTTGGTTGGCCCCACTTTGAAGTAGGAAGGGGTCTCTCAGGTTCCTGGTATTCTTCCATCCTTTATCATCTCTCACGTGTAACTTTTTCCGTAAGCTTAAGTTTTCTCGTTTCATTTCAAAATCCCTGGCCTCTTCCTGTACCATGATTAATCTGTCTCCTTTGTGCAAATCCAATCCATCGGTGAGTTCACATCAGATTCGGCATAGAACCCAACGATCTGAACTGATTTCAGAACCCAACGAGCCTCACCCTGTGGCGATGTTGGGCTTTGGCCCCAGAGAACAGTGATACTGATAACAGTGCCTCACGCAGTGTCCCGCTTTGGTCTACAAAGCACCTCGCGTGATTTTATGTAACCCGCGCTGCACATAAGCTGGGGCTTGGGTTCAGGTAACAGGTAAGCTGTAGGGCTGGGAAGAGACCCCCACGTTGGGAATCTCCTCGAGCAGAGGTTTGGTTTGTTCTTACTGTGCTGCTTTGCCTTTTTCACTGGCAGCTTTGGAAAATTTGGGCTGATAGCAAACATTTTCATGTCTCCTAACTGGCCATTTTTCCTAAGCTCTGGCCCCGTTGCCACATGCTAGGTGAGGGCGCTGAGATCCATGCCGGTAGTTAGGAGGAGGAGGAGGGGTGTTTGTTATCCTGACGGTGAGAGCTTAGCGTGCTCTAACCCCACGTCTGCCCCAGCGATGCTGCCCGCTTGGCTTAGGTGCGTGTGGCCTCCCTTCAAACGCCTCGCCGTCCTCAGGCCTCCTGGTTTGGTAAGCTGCCGTTCCTAGCAAGATTAGATGCTGGCTTTCTGGTCAGACTCCGAGTCAAAACAAAGCGTTCCCTAGAAATGACTGGGTTGGCCTTGGAGTGGGGGGGCAGTCAGCTCCGGCGTGGCTGCATGGGGCCGCGGTCTGGCCCGGGCAGGGGTCCCAGCAGGCTTTGTGCTGCAGAAGTGCAGACTGTCTACCACAAGACACCGAGAAGAGGTACGAACCGTCACTCTCTCTTCTCCTCCAAAGCTTCGGAGCCTGTGGTGGGGCGAGTTCCTGGGATTCCTACAGTGACCATTTCGCCATCGAGACCTGCAAAGAGACAGATATGCTGAACTACCTCATCGAGTGTTTTGACCGAGTTGGAATTGAGGAAAAAAAAGCACCAAAGGTAATAAGAAATAGATTCATCGAAAAGAGCCCACAAAAGCCTGGTCATTTGCTGGATATGTAATAGTTCCCACCCCCTTCTTAGCATTCATTTACTTGTTCACGAAGTGGTTATTGGGCAGGTATTGCATGCCAGCACTATACCAGGGGCAGGGGTATGAGCAGAAGAGACGAAGATCCCTGCCCACATAGAACTCACCTCCTCGGGGGAGGGAAGAAGTGGCAGGGCCAAGGGCCATTGCTACCAACAGCTTACATGGCCTTAGTAATTCCTGATAGCCTTATAATGATCATCATAATAAACGACATGTATGGAGCCCGTAGACTGGCAGGCACTGTGCTGGGCCTGCATGAGTTCAGATTCCCAGTTGATCACTGAGCCTGGTGTAATCCAGTGTAAGATGGGCACTCCTTTTAATGTTGTATGAATAAGCAAACTGACCTTGGTGAGATTAAGTAACTGTCCAGAACCACTTACACAAAAAGTTGCAAAGCTGCATTTAAACGTAGGAAGCTGCACTTTTTCTCCTCTTTTGTGCTGACTTCATTATTATTTCATTTTATTCCCACTTCATTTTCTAGTTCTAGTTTTCCCTTAGAAACGAATCTGGCTGTCCACCTGTTAGTTTCATATTTCTGCAGGGCCTCTGGGGCTTGTTGCTCTTAACCTTAGCAAAAGCAGAGCGTGGGGGCACGTGGCTGAGATTCCTGAATGGGCGCCTCCCGCCTCCACCTCTTCTCTCACTGTGGGTTTCAGCAGGAGCAGCGTGCTGGGTGATACAGTTGCTCTGGCTCGTTCAGTAGGAATAAAGGAAGAGCAGAGCATGCCATTTTCTGAGTTCCGTCCCTCCTGAACATCGTCAGTTTTCACCAGTCCGGGGTTGTTTTCTTTGTCTCTTCTTTCCAGATGTGCAGCCAGCCAGCGGTCAGCCAGCTCCTGAGCAACATCCGCTCCCAGTGCATATCGCACACTGCGTTAGTGCTGCAGGGCTCCCTCACCCAGCCCAGGTAGGAGAAGCCGGGAGGTGCGTGATGTTAGCGGGGCAGTCTAGCCACTGCTCATTTAATTGGATAAAGCATAAAACCAATAAGTAAAAGAGGTGAATATGTTTTTTATTGATTTCAGAGAGCAGGGATAGAGAGAGAGATAGAAACATCAGTGATGAGAGAGAATTGTTGATTGACTGCCTCCAGCAGGCCCCTCTTTGGGGGATTGAGCCTGCAACTCGATAGCAAACATTTTCCCTGACTAGGAATGTGCCCTGAGTAGGAATCGAACTGTGACCTCCTGATTCACGGGTCTATGCTCAACTGCTGAGCCACATCAGCCAGGGCTAATCGCTCAGTTTTTAAATAGAAAGGAATTTATTTATGACTAGAGGCTCGGTGCATGACATTCGTGCGTTGGGGTGGGGGGTGTCCCTCAGCCCAGCCTGTGCCCTCTTGCAATCCAGGACCCCTTGGGTAGGGTCCCTAGGCCTGGCCAGCGATCAGGGCCTATCAGGGTTTTCCTCCCCACCCCCTCCCACTAGAAGCTGGCCCTGCCCCTGCTACTACCACTGCTTGCCATCTGTGCGCCACTGCCCCTCCCCCTAGTCACCTCCCTCTGCGGGCTACAGGTGTGGGGTGTAAATTGCTTGGCTGGCCTGGGCCTCCTTTTGTGGGCAATCTATCACCCAGCAGAGGCAGGCCCCACCCACCCACTGCAGTACTGCTGGCCAGGTAGCCTGGGCCTCCCTCTTTGGAGCGATCGATTGTGGAGCCCTCTCATAGATTGCCCCACAGAGGGTGGCCTGGGTCTCCCTCTGTGGGGCAATTGTGGGGCGATGGTGGGGCCACTCGACCAATTGCCTTGTACTCGCCTTGGCTGGCCTGGCGTCAGTGGGTGTCATAGCGTGTCATCCTGATGGTCGTTCTGCTGTTTGGTCATTCAATCAATTTGTGTATTATGCTTTTATATAGAGAGATAAGAAGGGTGATCTCTTACCTCAACTGCTATGTAAAACATTTGGGAGATTTCAAGTTTGACATTCGGCTGGCAGTGGCTGCCGACAGTCCTTCCGTGTGTTCTGTGTTCTGTGTTCTGTAGTACCTGGTTGTTCATCGCAGTTACTGACTCTCCCGCTCCACAGGTCCATGCAGCAGCCGTCCTTCCTGGTGCCGTACATGCTGTGTAGGAACCTCCCATACGGCTTCATTCAAGAGCTGGTGAGAACCACTCACCAGGATGAAGAAGTGTTCAAGCAGGTAAGGTTTCGGGAATTTGCTACCGAAACTTTTAGCTTAGGCATTTCTATGATGAAGCTGATTTTTAAATGCACACGTATTGAAACTGTTTCCCACGGCCTGGCCCTCCTGCACGGCCCCTGGTCCCCTTTCTGCTGGCAGCACCACCCCTGCTTGCACCCACTGACAGCGTGGAGCGATTGGGGCTGGCATCAGCAGTGGGTGCGAGCAGAGCCAATGTTATCAGTGGGTGTGAGGGCAGCTGCTGCCTTGATCGCCCCTCAGGAGCAGGGGAAGAAGCTCTAAGGGATGATCAGGGCCGGTGCTGGGCACCGGCAGCAGGTGGGAGCGGCGTTTCCAGCGGGTGCTGGTGGAGCCGGCTCCTGCAGCAAGAGTGAGCACTGGACATGACTGAGGCGCGAGGGAGCAAAGAATTTGCAGTAACCATCAGAGGCTTGCCCCGAAGACAGCAACCTGCACTCAGCCTTGGTCTGGTGCCCCCCACTCACCTGCTCCACCAGCCCCTTAGGGTCAATGCCTGCCATGGTCCGTGCATGCCCCCTGGTGGTCAGAGCACGTCACAGCGACTGGTTGTTCAGTTGTTTGGTTGTTCCGCCATTCAGTTTATTTGCAAAGGGTTTTATATATATAGATACTAGAGGCCTGGTGCATGAATTCGTGCACAGGTGTGTCTGGCCAGCCTGCTCTGATAAGGGGGGGCGGCATGGAGAGGGCGCTGATCATTGAGGGTGCTGAGTTGGTCGAGGGAAGGGGCTATGGTTGGTTGGCTGGCTGTCCCCATCCCCTGGTCGAACTCCTGGTCGAGGGGACAATTTGCATATTAGTTTTTCATTATATAAAAGGATTACTTATAGCTATTAATTTTTAAAATATATTTTTTATTGATTTCAGAAAGGAAGGAAGAGGGAGAGAGAGAGAGAAACATCAGTTATAATTGGTCGGCTGCCTCCTGTCTGCCCCACACTGGGGACAGAGCCCACAAGCCGAGCATGTGCCTTGACTGGGAATTAAACCATGACCTCCTGGTTCATAGGTTGACTCCCAACCACTTGGCACACCAGCCAGGCTATAACTATTCATTTTAATGTCTTTGAATTCTCAGAAATTGTTTCTTTAAAATTCAGGAGTGAAATTCCCAATTAGTGTTGTATACTCTCTGGATCTGTCTGCTGCTTCTCTTAGCTGTTGGTCTCGTTGACAAAGGGGAATATTATAGTTAAGGCATCTCTGAAGGATGAGTGAACACTGATGAAAATAAGTAACTGTCTTGAGAGGTTTGTGATATGTTGTGTTATATGTGTTACGTGCATTGACTAGAATATTTGTATTAAAAAAGACATCATTTGATCAGCTGGAAGGAGTATGTTGTGCCTGTTTTATTGCACAGAGGCTAGGAAATGACCTCTTTGTTTTTATACAACTGAGGTGCTATTCACACAGCAAATGTACCCATTTTAAAGTGTACAGTCCAGTGGCATCTAGTATATTCACAATGTGTGCAGCCAGTGCTGGCCTGCTTATTTTTAATCACAGGATCCTGATGCCTTTTCTGCCACTTAGTCCTAAACAAGGCTTGTCTCTCCTTCCGTAGCACCACGTGTCTTTTCTAGGAAGAATGAGTAAAACGGAGTTGCTGAACTGAAAAACAGTTACCTTCCTGTCTTCTTTAAATTATTAAGTCTTTTGACCGAAATGTAAATATTTGTGATATTCACAGATATCAGAAATAAATAGTTGCTAGAATTTAAGCTTGGAGAGGAACGCCTATAGCATTTTCTTTTTTATCACTGCTGGGAGCTATTTATATGAATAGAAGAGAATTATTACAATGTGTAAGTCACACAGATAGTGTAACATTTGCCTATTTGAAAATATGCTTAGCAATATTGTCTAACTCTACTTACAAAAGAGGAAAGCTCTATTAGAAAGAGGAATGATGTTTCACTTTATAGCATTCCTGAAAACGGTGCTCAGAAATTACTTTAGATGACCAGTTAAGAAATTTATTTTTGGTGATTCTGGAACTCCTGTTTGCTTGTTTTCTTGCTTGCAGTTTTGATGTTCCCCATCTAAGCACTTCCTCTCCATTTTTAGCTCTTACGCAAACACATTACTTCTACCCTGATTGCTTATTTGCAAAGCTAGATTTATTTCCTCCAGAGCTGTGTTGATACCTCAGAATGCTCTAAGGCCTGGGCAGTCCAGGGCACCTTTCTGTAACACTGTGCCTCTTAAGCGAGCAGGTGCTCAGTACAGTGAAGGAGGTTAGCAGGAAAGGGAGTTTTCAGTCTCCCAGTGGCTTCATAGAAAACTCCCTTCTTCAGCGTGTTGACAGTCAGATTGTTAGCCATTGATTACAACTTGTTCTACTTTAATGGAATTAGAAGTCTTGATCCCAACCAAATCCCCAAATGTGTTGATCAGTGAGTGCGTTGTGACATTCAAAGTCATTTGTGCTGTGCTCATCTGGCAGTGTTTGTGTGCCTGGCATTGGTGGTAAACTTGTGAAAGTACATGGGTGTGCCCTGAAGCTCTGACCTCAGGCTATTGTGTATGTGGAGGGAAGGCATTCTGACAAAGTTTTCTTTTTCAATTTTAACGTTTACCAGCTATCTCTTTGTTCTACATAGTTAAGGTTAATCCTATATAATAAAAGGCTAATATGCAAATTGTCCCCTCTGGAGTTTGACCAACCCGGAGTTGGACCGATCACTATGATGTGTATTGACCATCATTGACGGCACGGAACGTAGGAAGGCCCCAGCCAGCAGCCGGAAGGCCCTGATCGGTCAGGCTTAGGAACCCTACCCTTGCATGAATTGCGTGCACTGGGCCTCTTGTGTAATAATAATATCCATTATTGGTCTGTTTTTCTTATTCTCTTCAAAATACAGGGAATAGATGAAAGGAATTAGATGGAGGTGAGAGGGTGGAAACAGTGAATATCTTAACACCATTGGCAGAGGTGAGAAGGTAGTAGAACATGCAGTCCAGTTTCTTTACAGATTATGGGTGCCTGATGATCAGAAGCGAGTGTTCTGAGCTGTGTAGAACTGAGCTGATTAAAGCAGGGACCCCTGGAAGGTCTCTATCAAGCTCTAGATTCCTGAGTTTCTGTGGAACCCCTGGGAGTCATTAGGATTCTCTGTGTCCTGGTGTTTCTGGAAAATTCGGCTGCATTACTTTGTGGATGGGCGTGAAGGACAGCAGCACCCTGGCCGGGTCTGGACTCCCTTATGTGCAAACAGCTTTTCCTGGGGAGGCAGGAGACGCCTGTGCATTGAGATCTTTATTTACGATGCCTTCCGGCCTTAACTTTTCTTATGTTTATATTTCTGATTTGGTTTTGTTTTGTTTTCTTACAGATCTTTATCCCCATTTTACAAGGCCTGGCGCTTGCTGCCAAAGAGTGCTCCCTTGAAAGTGACTACTTTAAATACCCCCTCATGGTAAAGCTTCTTCTTATAACCCATCCAGTAGCTGTTTCCTTCCAGGTTATGTTAACACGCACTTTTCTCTCAGGTCCGCGGTCAACCTTGTTCTCAAATTTAAAGCATGAAATCATTGTGCAGCCATGCAGTGTGTGGCGTGCAGCGGGATGCGTCAGCGAAGACAGTTAGACTCATCCCACCCATCGAGGCCTAGCCAGTCAGTGATGCAGTCATTAAAACACCCCCCACTCATTGGATAGCTTATGAGCACGGTCATTATTGGTGGTATCCTTCTGATTCTCGCAGCAGTGACATACCATACTATTTGGGATTAAATTTTGTTTTAAAAAAATTACAAACGCAAAGAAAAGGTCAGGCAATATTAAGAAAAGTATACAGCTGTATCATTTTTGTGGTGACTTTGTACAGAAGGCCTGAGAGTCATTCTCTTGTTCACCTCCCATTTCCTGGGGCTGTACTCTTCAAGCTTTCCTTGAACACGGAAAACACGGATCTGCTTAGCCCTGGCAGGCACTTAGCTCAGCAATCATAGATGAACATTTCGGCTAGATCCTCATAGAGGACCCGGACTGTGATAAAAATATTGGAACCAGAAACAAAATAACAGATTCTTTTCTTCTCTGAATTTACCTCTTTGAAATTTTGGGAGAAAAGTACTTTGAAGTACTACTGAATTTTTTTTTTATTCTAGAAATAGGAAGGGAAATATCAAAATAATTTGTTAACTTTATATGTAAATACATCCTTCCATAAGTTGAGGTCTTGGTTAAATAGATATTTTTTACCGCATTTGTTCCATTGAATCATTGTACAGTTAGCTCGTTAGTTACTGGAGACCCGGTCTGAGCCAGGTCTGGGCACAGGAGCCCACTAGACAAGGGAGCAGCTCCCCGCAGGGGCTCACAGTCTGCTGCAAACACCGGAACAGCAACACAGTCAGCAAGGTGCCCGTGATAAATGCTAGCGCAGAGGCGTGCACAGAGGTACCCTTACCTCCTCAAAACCCCAAACCGAGCTAACAGGCCACCGTTCAAGACCCTGCAGGGAAGCCACAACTCTTAAAGATCATTGTGAGTGGATTTGCATAGGGCTCTTCATTGCACATGCTCTTCAGGCTCCGGACAAAAGTCATTAATCCATATGCTCTGCTCTGTGTGTGGCAGATACAGGCAGCGGACGAAGCTGATGTTTGTGCTCAGTGGTGAAGTATTTCGGTGCACATGACTTACCACCATCCTCTGTAAATACTCCTTCCTGGAATCGCTGGCTTTCCCGCGGTGGTTTGGTTCAGTAAGGAGCTTTTAGTGTCAGATATCAACAGAAGACAGAGGCCTTCATTATGATAGACAGGCAGTTTATTTTGTACCATTATCGGTGCTGGTACAGCAATAAGTGTGCATTTTGAGGAAGGACGATAGTGAGAGGCAGGCAGAGGGAGTCTGGAGCCAAAATCAGAAGTGGATTTTTGTCTAGGTCAGTGGATCCCAGATTTGCCACACCTTGGACTCACCTGGGAGCCTTTACAAAATGCTGGTGCCCGCCTCCCGGGCACTGTAATAGAATTCATCTCGTGTGTGGTGAGGCTGTGGCCTGGCATTGGGGTTCCTGACACTTCCCAGGAGATCGCACTGTGCAGCAAAGTCGGGGAACCTTGAACTGAGCAGCAAGAATACTCCCTTCTCAGGGGTGCTCTGAGCCTGGGCTTCTCAGCGAGACGTCCGTGCACCTGCCCACATTGCAGAAAGAAGGCAGCCCACTGTGCATGTGGCACTTAATTGGCTTATGGTGGCTGTGTCAGCGCTGCTTGTCCCTAAAACAACACTCCCTGGTTCTCTAATATGACAACGATGGACACTCAAAAGGAAAATGTTGGCGTTCTCAGAAATACTAGAGATCATGAAACCAAGGAATACTTTTAAATATGTTCTGGATTTGATTGCTTATTAAATTATAATTCTTTATAGTTCTGTTTAACACTGGCAAGATTGCCCATCTACAGTTTACGAAGCATATCTTTTTGACGTGGAAAAACAGTTATTTTAAAAATATATACACATCTCAATATGTATAGGCACAAAAATATGTCTGGAAAGGTGTTAACTAAAATATAAATAGAGGTTACTTACCCCTTGGTGTAAAGTTTGAGTGACTTTTAGCTTCATTTTATATTTCTGATTTATGTTAAGTGTTTTACAGGGTGGTGTATTGCTGAGTCAGGGGAGCAGTGAAGCTGTTAGGGTGGGAGGGAGACGTGCGCATTTATAGCGGCAGTTACAGTTAGTCTTCGGTGTTCACTTGGCGGTCTGGTGAAATATGTTTAACCGGCTCTCTGCTCTGATTTCCAGGCGCTGGGGGAGCTCTGTGAAACCAAGTTTGGGAAGACACACCCCGTGTGCAACCTGGTAAGTGCCTCACTGCTGGGCTGCATGTGTGTAGTGAGCATAGAGCTCAGAAGGTGCTCCGCGGGTATCATCTGGGAGCTGTCCGTTGCAGGGCATTTAGGTCCGGCATGTGTGGGTGGCTCTGGATTCTTAGATTGATGTCACATACCAGTGGTCGGCAAACTCATTAGTCAACAGAGCCAAATATCAACAGCACAATGATTGACATTTCTTTGGAGAGCCACTTTTTTTTTTTTTTGTATTTTATTGATTTTTTTAGAGAGGAAGAGAGAGAGAGAGAGAGAGAGAGAGAGAGAGAGAGAGAGCGAGAGCGAGCTAGAAACGTTGATGAGAGAGAAACATCAACCAACTGCCTCTTGCACACCCCCTACCGGGGATGTGCCCGCAACCAATGTACATGCCCCTGACTGGAATCGATCCTGGGACCCTTCAGTCCGCAGTCCGACGCTCTACCACTGAGCCAAACCGGTTTCGGCAGAAAACCACATTTTTTAACCTTAAACTTCTTCTAACGCCACTTCAAAATAGACTTGCCCAGGCTGTGGTATTTTGTGGAAGAGCCGCACTCAAGGGGCCACAGAGCCACATGTGGCTCTCGAGCCGAAGTTTGCCGACCACTGTCATATACCATTTCCTGGAATGAAGCTGTTGGCTTTCTTTTGTGATTTTAAAAAAAATTTTGGGTAAGTGTTGCACATCCAGAATAACAAGTCCTAGGGGAGAATTAAGTTGAATCCTTTTGCAGTATAAGAAGAGTTCATTTGCACTCCATCGCACAATTTCTGAAACATAAAACTTAGAAGTACGTCCAGAAAACCTCAGAAGTATATTTTACAAAGTGTGGAGGAGCCCGAGGCTTTCCTCCCTCCGAAAGGAGAAAACACCCGCAGGGAAGGCAGCGCGTGTGGGAGCTGTGTTGTGGGAAGTGCAGTGTCCACACTGCGGTGCTCAGACCCGCGGAGAGGGTGGCTGTGGGAACTGGCCGTGAGGTTTCCCTCCCTTGCCGGCACAGCCCCTTGATCTGCCTCTGCTTTCCCCACAGGTGGCTTCCTTGCCGTTGTGGTTGCCTAAGTCCCTGAGCCCTGGGTCTGGGCGGGAGCTGCAGAGACTCTCTTACTTGGGGTCTTTTTTTAGCTTCTCCGTCTTCGCAGAAGATGACGTAAGTACGGTGGCCATTTGCACTTCTGCTCCGATGTTCACATCCCTTCCCGAGTGGGTATTCTATGTCCATTGAATTTGTTTCTTCTCTTTCCAGGCTAAAGTGGTTGAAAAGTATTTCTCAGGGCCTGCTATTACCCTGGAAAACACCCGTGTGGTCAGCCAGTCACTGCAGCATTACCTGGAGCTGGGAAGGGTAGGTGTTCGGAAAATGGACTCTGGGGGGGGGGGGGGGGGATAAAAGGCAGGGGCTTTGAACGGTAACCGCAGCGAGAATGCTCTGCACCCTCATTGGGCAGCCTGGGGACGGTCCGGAGTTTAGTGGCCAGGCTCTCAGGCATGTAAGACTCGGGGTGAGTGAGCGCTGTTAGTTTTAACTCGCTGGTCCCAAATAGAGTTTATATGGCTTCAGTTCTCAAAAAAAGCTGCAAAATTATAGTGTAATTAAGGTAATTGTGACCCTCTCCTGGAAGAGAAATAGCAAAGGCTGTTCTATTAAAACAGCAACTACTTCCTCTCCACTCACATCCCGCTTCCATGCTAATGCTGCCGACACAGTTGAGTGTGGGCTTATCATCTGCTCTTCTCAGAGTCAGAGGAAGTGGGAAGCAGGGGCGGGGGGGAGAAAAGGCGGGGAGGGAGCTAGCTGTTCTTAAGTCTAAAGGAGTAGTTTTTAAAGTAAAGCTTTAATTTTTTTTTTCTTTGTTTTTAAAACAAATTTCAGCAAGAGCTCTTCAAGACTCTGCACAGTATTCTGCTAAATGGTGAAACCCGGGAGGCGGCCCTCAGTTACATGGCTGCCGTCGTCAATGCCAACATGAAAAAAGCACAGATGCAGGTAGGCCCCCTAAGGCGCCTTTTATTTCTCCGTCAATTCATTCCTCTAACTCCCCTGTTCATCAGTGCTGACCTGACACTGTGCCAGGAGGCGGAGACGCGTGGTGAACGAGAGAGAGAGGCTCCTGCTTCTGTGCAGCGGGTGTCCTATAGGGATATGGGTGAACGCAGAGACATGGTTTCAGCAGACCCAGCTCCTAGGAGGCCAGCCCCGCACGGCACCGCACGGGAGTGACGGCAGGAGCTCCAGAAAGAAGCTGTGGGTGAATTCTGTCCGAGTGTCGGAAAGGAGGCCCCGCTAAGGGGGTGGCATTTGATCAGAGACCTGACTGACAGGAAAGAACCAGCCATTGCAGGGCTGGGGAAAGGGCTCTCCAGGCAAGAGTAAGGCACTAAGCGAGGGCTGGGCTAGCTTTGAGGCCAGCCCACGTGCCGGCCTTTGTAGCCGGAGGACTGAACGGGAAGAGAAGGTGCATGGTGCGTTGGGGTGGTCAGAGGCTCCATCAGTGTGATCAGTATGATAAGAGCTGCCGTGAGGACCATCGGAGGGTTTTCCAGCAAGAAACCCTCCGGATCCGTGCAGAGAATGGACTGGAGTGGGACGGGAGCCAGCAGACCTGAGAGCAGCCCTGTGTGGAGGCTTCTGGTGTGGACTGTTTGCCAGAGCGGAAGAGTCACGAGGGCGTCTGCCCTGTATTAGTACTGAATGACGTGACACTTCTGCTCAAGATGGAAAACGTACAGATCGAAGCGTGGGCCTCGTCTGAGGCTGCCTGGACTTGCCATTGTGGCCGGCACTCACTAACAGTGGGACCTTAGCAGTTACTTCTCTGTCTCTCCGCGTCCCCGTCGCTGAAGGGGATAATAAACACTGAGCGTGTGTGTTTACTCTCCGCGAAGCTGGTGGAATAGTGCTTCCTCCAGAGCGAGCACTCGGCGCTGTCACTGTCGCTGTCAGGATCGTTCTGTCACTAATGCGGACTGTAGGTGAGAGGCTGTCGGGTGGGAACAGTGAAGCTTCTTGTCCTGATGCTCTGGAGGGGAATGAAGAGGAAGGAAGCAATGTTTAGTGTGTTTTTACTTGCTCGCTGATTGTGAGGATCTTAGCAAGTCACTTAAATTCTCTGAACCTTAGTTTTCTCCTCTGGAGAATGGGAGTAATAGTGTAACTGCCTTCTACAGGCTATTGTGAAGATGCGGTGAGAGAATGTATAAAATGCTTCACAAGGATGAACACTCAACAATTGGTAGCTGCTAAAGTCACAGTGATGACATGACGTGTGTGTCCTGTCATTGACTGTTGCTCTAGCTGGTTTGGCCAGTGGTTAGAGCATCTGCCTGTGTATGGAAGGGTCTCAGGTTCAGTTCCCAGTCAAGAGCATATACCTGAGTTGCAGGCTCGATCCCTAGCCTGTGTTGGAGCATGTGTGGGAGGCAACCAATCAATGTATCTCATATCGATGTTTCTCTCTTCCCCCTCTCTACCTTCCACTCTCTCTAAAAATCAAGGTAAACATATCCTCTGGTGTGGACCTAAAAAAAACCTTTTTCTTAGTAAAAAAAAAAAAAAGACAAGAAGATGCATGTTTGGTCAGCATTTCTCTTCCGTCATTATTCTAAGTCCTTCCTTCCATGTTTCACAGACAGATGACAGGTTGGTGTCTACAGATGGATTCATGCTGAATTTCCTCTGGGTGCTGCAGCAGCTCAGTACCAAGATCAAGTTAGAGACAGTTGACCCCACGTATATATTCCACCCGAGGTGTCGGATCACTCTGCCCATCGATGAGACCAGAGTGAACGCCACGATGGAGGACGTGAAGGAGTGGCTGGCGGAACTCTGTGAGTGACATGTTCATTATCAGGTCGTTGAAATGCTGCCCTCCTGTTTTTTTAATTAAAAAAAGGTATGCAGTGGCACTCGAAGCATATTCCCACAGCTAAGATTTGACACCAGTGCAGGGTCCCTGTCCGTTGCCTCCTGCCCACCCCTACAGCAGTGACCTCAGACCCCGGATTCACTCAGCAGGGGCAGAGCAGGGAGCGTGTCTGAGGACTCGATTGTGGTCTTGCCCGGTCAGACATTACTGATATTTACCATTAATGACATGTTTAGGGCCAGGTTTTATCGGCCAGTACAGAACTGTTTCAGAGTCATGGGAGATTTTAACCAAAACAAAGACAACACTACAACCTGAGATTCAGTGTGCCTTCCCTTTGGCCATCCATATGTCCTATAGGAAATCCTCTAGGTGTAGGCTATGGGCTGATCAGGAAAAGAACTTGAATATCTTAATAGTAACTGTTGTTTTCTAGTTAAATCTGAGGAGACTGAGCTTCCAAAAGGCGCCAAGCTCGCCTCGCCCGTTCAGCACGTGGCGCTGCGGCGAGGGTCCTGCAACCAAACCAACCCCAGGAAGGATGAGCACAGCCCGGGGCAGCTGGGAACTTTCTGCCTTCCTGGGGTTGGTTTGGTTGTAGTTTCTCGTATTGGTCAGTGAAGGAAGCAGTGTCACTCAGGAGATAAGCCAGGCAGACTCCAGAATTAAGATATGGCTCTTGACCTAGCCAGTTTTGCTCAATGGATAGAGCATCGGCCTGTGGACTAAAGGATCCCAGGTTCCTATTCAGCCAAGGGCACACGCCCAGGCTGTGAGCCCGATCCCCCCCCCCCAGTAGGGGGAATGCAGGAGGCAGCCAATCAGTGATCCTCTCTCATTATTGATGTTTATATCTCTCCCTTCCTCTCTGAAATCAATAAAAAATATATATATATTCAAAAATTTTTAAAAATATTGCTCCTTGAACGTTAAAAATAAAATAAATTAAATAAAAAGGAAAATTACTTTAAAAAAAGAAAAGGTGTGGGCTCTTGGGATCAGGGCCCGAGCCGGGGAGTCACAGACTGTGGAGGAAGTGGTCACGGGGTTTTGAAGGAGGCCCTTCAGAGGGAGGGAGGAGGAGGGGGAGGAGGAAGAAGGAGCCAGGCAGCCTGGCCGCAGCCATTTTCCTGGCCGACAGCAGTCATGCTCCAGAGAGGTCCAGGCAGGCAGGGGGAGAGTGCGCGAAGGAGTGAAGACAGAGAAAGAAAGAACAGGCAGAGGGAAGGTATGGAGGCTTGTGACAGACAAAATGTATCTGGGAAACAGGTGAGCAGGAAAACAGGAAGGTAGAAATGTAAGAGAAATGGGCAAAACTCAACAGTAAAGAGACTGGGCTTTACAGTGATGCTAAGGGTGGGGGCAGGGGCACGGGACGGGGGATGACTTTGTGCCTCTCCATTTTCGTGTTTGTGTTCAATCACAGAGAACCTCAATGCCCGGCATCCCCTACGGGGATGCATCCTGCTAGCGGGCGGTGTTTCCAGCTGCCCCAGCTAAAGAGTGAGAGTTTATAGGGTCTAGAAAAAAAGATAATTTTGTTTGGATGCTAATGATTCCTCACAAGTTGTTGCCTCTCCAGAAAATGAATTTACAAGCTAGGGATATATTATGCAATAAAAATTAATACAGTAGCTCTACTCAGTTTGGCTCAGTGGATAGGGTGTCGGCCTGCGGACTGAAGAGTCCCAGGTTCGATTCCAGTCAAGGGCATGTACCTTGATTGCAGGCACATCCCCAGTAGGGGTTGTGCAGGAGGCAGCTGATCGATGTTTCTCTCTCATTGATGTTTTTTATTGGCACATATAAAGTGAAAACTATATTTTATCAAGAGAATTTTAATTGGCACATTTAATTGACACATTTAGGGCTCAAGTCTTTTTTTTTTTTTTAGGGATTGTTTCCCCCCAGATTTTAGTTTTTATCATCTATAATTTTTTAAGAGTCATTAAACCATTTGGAAATTAGTGTAACTCTGCGTTATTGGTTTCGCTTTTTCTTTGATTTAGTCCTGCAGCCACTTTTATTTAGGGGATAATGTGTGTGTGTTTCCTAGATGGAGATCAGCCTCCATTTTCTGAGCCGAAATTCCCTACGGAATGCTTCTTCCTTACCCTGCACGCCCACCACCTCTCCATCCTGCCGAGCTGCCGTCGCTACATCCGCAGGCTCCGGGCCATCCGGGAGCTCAATAGGTACGTGTGTGTGGCCTGTCCTGAGGTGGCTGAGGCGCCACGGGTTCCGGGTTTCAGATAGCGGGGCGCACAGTTAGAACCCCTCCTGGCGACTCGGGACGGCGCTGTGTCCAAAACCTCCGGTGAACCTCTGGTAGCTGTCACCATGGCAGTGAAGCTGCCCTACACCCCCCTCTGGATGATGAGCCCTCCAAGGTCCATTCCCACACATACTCCCACTGCCCTGTCACCTCGTGTGCAGTGGGGAGAGTAACGGGCCACAGATGCTCACGTGCTAGACCTGAACCTGTGACTGTGTTGCCTTACATGGTAAGAGACTTTGCAGGTGTGCTTAAGTTTGGGATCTTGAGATGGGAGATTTTCCTGGACTATCTGGGTGGACCCAATGTTATAAGGACCTAATAAGAGGGAGGCAGGAGGCACAGAGTGAGGAAAGGGAACCTAATGGCGGAAGCAGGTGTCAGGGGGATGTGGTTGGTCCATGACGCTGCCAAGGGCAGGGAAGCATCCTTCCCTAGGGCCTCGGGAAGGAACGCTGACCACATGAACGCTGACCAGGGAGACTTCTGACCTCCAGGGCTCTGGGCCGATAATTCTGTTGTTTAAGCCACTGACTTTGTGCAAGCTTGTTACACTAGCCATAGGCAATGAATGTAACATCCAGCAAATCGTGCCCTTCTCTTTCTTCCAACATGGACTCCCGGCTTTGGAGTTAGCCGATAAGAACAGAAATTGGTCTCGCTCTGGTTATGGTTCTGGAGCAGTGGAAGGGATTTGGCATTCTCCTGTGATGTGACCACCTTGAAGTCATCAAATCCTCCAAGCTCCTCTTGAATTCTTGGAGTGCCCGTCTTTGCTCTCACTCACAGCTAAGAGACCCAGTAAGGTTATCGATTCAGTTTATATTATGATAGATGCTATGTGGGACCAGATGCTGCTTTGAGGTCATCTTAGGAACTCCCGGCTCGGTGACTTTCCTGGAGGTGAGAGTTGGCATCCGGGCCTGTCTTTTCCTTCTGTGAGGTCTCCACGGAGGAGAGCCCTCTGTGTTCCTTCCCGAGATCGCTGGTGACCGCTCATGCAGCTGCTTTTCCACAGAGAGCCTTGGGCTGCCCGTGTTCTGTCCTGAGGTGCCTGAATCTTCACCCATCAGAGAACTAATCCCAGAGGCCCGTTTCTCTGAGGGCCCATCACCTGTGTGACCCCTCTGGTGCCCATAATCTAGATCATCATATTACTTTCCAATTGTTGCTGCAACGGAGTACCACACTTTCATGACTTAAAATGACATCAGTGATTATCTTACAGTCCTGGGGAGCCCAGGTCCTAAAATCAAGGCTGCATTCTTTCTGGAAGCTCTGGACTCTCTTTCCCTGCCTTTTCCCGCTTCTGACGGCCGCCTGCATTCCGTGGCTCGTGGCCCCTTCTCCATCTTCAAAGTCAGCAGCATAGCATATTGAGTTCGCGCTCTCCACCTCTGCTGTCACATCTCCTCCTCTTACTCTGCCTCCCTTTTTCTCTTAGAAGGACCCTGTGGTGCCATGGGGCCTATAGACAATGCAGGATAACCTCCCCATCTTGAGGTCCATATCCTTCATCACCTCTGCAGAGTCTCTGTTGCCATGTAAGGTCACAAACACACTCAGGTTCTGGGGATTGGGCTGTGTCATTAGGGGGAGCATTGTTCTGTCTGTCACACTCATAGTTGCACGAAAAATACTCTATAGTTTACCAGAGGATTGTTAAAGATTACCATTTGGTTTATTGAATCCTTGAAATGGCTGGAAAACCGGTTCTCCTTTGAATATGGCCTGGCTGGAAGCTGCTTCAGGGGTCAGCTGGACAGTAGAGCCTCCGCCAAGTTCTCCCAGAACCACGTGGCTGCCACGTGGCAATACTCCCTTCTGCTTTCAGTGAGGGTTCGCCTCGTGGTGGACTAAGTCATGTGCAGAAATGCTGGCAGCAAGGGAGCCTGGGAATGGTAGTTTTTTTGTTTTTGATTTTTAAGATCAACCTCTAGTTCCTTACAATGTCTTGATAGAAAGGGGTTAAATAATGTTAAGTGAACAGTGTTTAAAATGTGCAGCATTATTACCGATCGGGGACACGACCTCACTGCCAGGTGAAACTTGGACAGACACCTGGAGGAAGTGAAGGAGCAGGTGGCAAGGTGATCACAGAGAAGGGTCTTCCAAGCAGAGGCTATTGTAAAGGAAAAGGAGGGAATGCAGAAGTAGTGAAGTCGCCTTTCGCCTTTTGTTTTGGGTAACTGAGTAGGCTTAGTGACCTTGAATTTTCTTGAGACCTCTTTCTCCCTCCAAGAAAAACAAGGGAACCCTGTATTTCCTTCTAAAAGAGGTTACTATATTTCATCACATCTAAAGTGTCAAGAGCCCGGCTGGTGTGTCTCGGTGGTTGAGCATCAACCCAAGAACTAAGAGGTCGCTGGTTCGATTCCCAGTCATGGGCGTGCAGGGGGCAGCTGATCAATGATTCTCTCTCATCATTGATGTTTCTATCACTCTCTCCCTCTCTGTTCCTCTCGGAAATCAATAAAAATATATTAAATAAGTAAATGAATAAGTAGCCGAAGCCGGTTTGGCTCAGTGGTAGAGCGTTGGTCTGTGGACTGAAAGGTCCCAGGTTCAATTCCGGTCAAGGGCATGTAAGTTGGTTGCGGGCACATCCCCAGTGGGGGTGTGCAGAAGGCAGCTGGTCGATGTTTATCTCTCATCGACGTTTCTAGCTCTCTATCTCTCTCCCTTCCTCTCTGTAAAAAATTAATAATATATTTAATAAATAAATAAATAAATAAAGTGTCATCAATTTTATGATATCATTTTAGGAATCAATAAGAAAGAAAAATGCTGCCAATTAAACCATAATGTGTCATTGATTGTAAGACATTCTCTGGTTTTAGAAATGCTAAAATTGGGGGGAATGTGCCTGAGAGCCATTGAAATAGTCAAAATGAGTAGATAAGATGGATAATGGGTCTGTGTGTGTCTTTTTATTTGACCATTAGTCTTTTCTTTCAGAACCGTGGAGGATTTGAAAAATAACGAAAGCCAATGGAAAGATTCCCCACTGGCAACCAGACACCGGGAAATGCTGAAGCGCTGCAAAACGCAGCTGAAGGTCCGTATAGTTACTGGGATGAGTATCGACCAGCCTCACAATGGTGTATTTCCCAGCAGGCTATGTGCCTTCAGTGAGCAGTTTCGTGTCCTTGTTTTTCTTCATTATTCTCCCCACCCCCACGCCCGAGATAAAATGGTGCATCTAAAACTTGTTGGTAGTTTACGTGTATCTACATAATATTTAAACCTCAGGACAGACTGTCAGGCGCTATGTCAATGACATCAGGAATTTTTAGTCGGTTTTATCCTCAGTTTAGCATCTCCTCCCTTTCCTACCTTGTGCAGTGCCCTACCCACCTACTACCCCCAGCCCTGCAATCCTGTCCCTGAACACACATCATCCCTTCCAGGCAAGCATGTTCACGGTGTGTGACAAAGTACAGTTGTGGCTGTGGAAAGATTTCTTTCTTTTGCTCCTCCTCATTCTTCATTTTTAATTGGAAATGATCCATCACACAGGACTATCTAGAGATGGGAAGATTTCTGCTTGTGAGCGTAGCTTTAGAAGGTTCAGCACCGATAGCACATTTAGGCATTTTTCTTGTTTATATTCAAATTAAAAAGCTGGGCGTTGGCTGGTCGTGCTTTCTGCTGATTAGTAAAATAACGTGTAGAGTTTTTCTCTGGCTGGTTCCTGTCACACCGAGGTCTCATTTAGTTTAAGACACTAGACCTCTCTGAGAAGCAGAGTGAGGCAGGGGCTCTTGTCTGGGGCCTGCAGAACCCTTCAGCTCTCCAAAGGTGACGCTTCAAGGAGCCCATAAACTTTAAATTCATATGTCAGCGTGTGCGCATGTGCGTGTGTTTTATCCTCACAGTGACCCTCTGAGGTTGGGGGACAAGCATTTCCCCCAAAGGCAACTCTTTAGTGGGGACCTTCAACTTAGATGCAGATTCGTCTGGCTTCTCCCCACTAATCCTCCCTGGTCCCCAAAGAGCTCCCCAGGTCATTAACGTCACAGCAGTGACCTGCCGCGGAGCCGTGTGTCCGGTGGTCTGTGTGGCGGAGCTTTTGTTCTTAGGACACGACCAGCACCCCAGCTAGTCAGCTCCCCGCCCGGCCCACCCCGCCAGCACGCCCAGCTACTCAGCTGCCAGCTAACACGGCGGCCCTGCTTCCACAGAAACTGGTACGATGCAAGGCCTGCGCTGACGCTGGGCTACTTGACGAGAGCTTCCTGCGAAGATGTCTGAATTTCTATGGCCTCCTCATCCAGCTGCTGCTCCGCATCCTGGACCCCGCCTACCCCGAGTGAGTGCGCGCTGTGTTCAGTGTACCGCTCGCACCAGCCCTCCCTCGGCAAGAGTTCACGTTTGCCCTAGGCCAGTGGTCGGCAAACTGCGGCTCTCGAGCCACATGCGGCTCTTTGGCCCCGTGAGGGTGGTTTTTCCACAAAATGCCACGGCCTGGGCGAGTCTATGTTGAAGAAGTGGCGTTAGAAGTTTAAGTTTAAAAAATGTGGCTCTCCAAAGAAATGTTAATCGTTGTACTGTTGATATTTGGCTCTGTTTGCCGACCACTGCCGTAGCCGGTTTGGGTCAGTGGATAGGACACTGGGTTCGGTTCCGGTCAGTGGCACATACCTTGGTTGCAGGCTCCTCTCCGGCCCGGGCCCCTGGTTGGGGCTTGTGCGAGAGGCAACCAATTGATGTCTTTCTCTTACACTGATGTTTCTCTCTGTCTTTCCCTCTCTCTTCCACTCTCTAAAAACCAATGGGAAAATATCCTCAGGCGAGGATTAAAAAAACAAAACAAAACAAATAAAGGATTTATTTTTCAATTTCCAGATTGTGCTTATGTAGAATATGTAATAATCAATATTTTACCTGTAATTAGTTACAGTAATAAGGGGATGTCAGCACCTGCAATTTTAATTTTGACATAGTGCTTTGTAAAAATTGCCTTATTTTTATCAGTTTTTGATCGATAAAAAATGGAATCTATAAATTGGAAGCTAAAAGCTAGAGATAAGCTTGGCTGGCTTGGCTCAGTGGTTGAGCATTGATCTATAAACCAGGAGGTCACAGTTCGATTTCTGGTCAGGGTATGTGCCGGAGTTTCGGGCTTGGTCCCCAGTGCGGGGCATGCAGGAGGCAGCTGATCAATGATTCTCGTCATTGATGTTTCTCTCTTTTCCTTCCTCTGTGAAATCAATTTTTTTTAAAAAGCTACAGATAATTTTTTATTGTTGAGCTGCGGGCGTGTTGACCTTGTATCCTCACCTGTACAGCTTATTGTTCTGTTATTGTTATGAAGCCTGTGTGTCCCTGCTGGGGGAGCCCTCTGCGGGCACAGTGTGGCCAGCACTGTGGTCTCACCGTAACCTGTGCTTTCTTCTCGTTGACAGCGTAACACTGCCTCTCAGTTCAGACGTCCCCAAGGCGTTTGCAGCGTTGCCTGAGTTCTATGTAGAAGATGTTGCTGAATTTTTATTTTTTATTGTACAGTAAGTGTCCTACCATATTACATAGAACTTATATATGTTTTTATATCTTTTGTGTAAATACTATGATTAATTATATTACACACCTCCATTCTATGCCTGAAATTGTGTGTCACTGCTTTAACTGCTGCCTGGAGATTGGAAAAATAAATCCAAACTGTGGCACCAGGCCACTTCCAATAATATCACAGAGGCAAAGAGGATTAGCAATGCTGGTCATAATGTCTTCTGTGAAAATGGAGCTGAACTTCTAATGATGGAGAATGTGTTTCTGAGGAACAGTAGGAGCAGTTTATAAATACCTGAGTGAACATTCAAAAGCCAGAAATAACCACATCTATATTTTGTACCAACATTTTCTCAATGGTAGAATTGGAGGAAGGTAGCAAAGTAATGGGTTGTGTTTATATCTGACTTTTCAAAATGAAAATAACTAACTCTATTAAAATATTTTTTAAGTGTTTGGGTAGTGAAGATTTTTGAAATCCATGAGATAATTTATTCACATCCTTGGTTTATTTTCTAAAACACAATAAGTTAGTCTAAAATGCTGTGGCCAGTAGAATGACGGATTTGAAACCTATCTGGTTATGATATAAATAGTCACCTTACACTCAGTAAGTGAAAGGGGACTCAGCGTCCTGGTTCCTGGGCCTATCGGTTGCCTCCCCTCGGAGGACCCCAGCGCCCGCCCAGGTGGAGACTCAGGGCTGGACCTCGCCCCTCTCGCTCGCAGATACTCGCCTCAGGTGCTGTACGAGCCCTGCACTCAGGATATTGTGATGTTCCTCGTCGTGATGTTGTGCAACCAGAACTACATCCGAAACCCGTACCTGGTGGCCAAACTGGTGGAAGTCATGTTTATGACCAACCCTGCTGTGCAGCCACGGACCCAGAAGTTCTTCGAAATGATCGAGAACCACCCTCTCTCCACCAAACTGTTGGTCCCGTCCCTGATGAAGTTTTACACGGGTAGGTTCCTGGGCACACAGGCAGGCAAAGCCGTCCAAAGCCAGTGGGCAGAGTTACTCTAACCCTGTTACCCAATAGGCTGCCATCCACCCACACGTGTAGCTCAGTAGCCCACTGGGAGCAGAGCACATGCTACTGGGTCCCTGAGAATTAAGAGTAGCCCCTTCCTTCCTTCCTTCCTTCCTTCCTTCCTTCCTTCCTTCTTTCTTTCTTTCTTTCTTTCTTTCTTTCTTTCTTTCTTTCTTTCTTGAACTTCTAAAAATCTTCAGTAAACATGTATTGTTAATATTAAAACTAAAAACGTTAAATGTATTTTATAGCCCGTGTCTGCAGCTGTCACTGACTCTGGATGAGGGACAGGGTGTGTAGGTGTGTGGGATGGAGCTGGCGGGCGGGTGCTCTTCTCCCTCCCCTTCCACCAGGCAGTGTGCCTTCCAGCCCCGGACACCTCTGTGGTCACGGACAGATGATACCATTGCTAAGAATAGCACCACTCATCGAATCCTTACTGATCCTTGCACTTAATCCCAACCACAGGCCTCAAGATGGGCGCCATAAATAGCTCCATTTTACACATGAGGAAACCGGAGCTTAGAAAGGTCGGGAAGCTTGCTGAAGGTCAGCAGCTAGCGAGTGGCAGCAGCCTCAGCAGCTGGGCTGTGGCACAGGTGCTCCTGGCGTCTGTGATGTCCCTCCCATGGTTACCAAGGCACTGGCGCCAGAGGGCCTGCAGGGGGGCGTCACACACTGCCCGCCTGCCCATCACAGCCTGCTAAGGCTGCGGGTGCAGGTCCTGACCCCTGCATGCCGGCCTCTCAGGCGTGTGAGAGTCTGCGATTGAGAGCAAGCCCCTTTTTGCACCCCGGGAGAAGAGGCTAGCTTAGGAAATGCTTAAGATCAATTTCTGTTTCCAAAATAAAGTTCAATTTCAAAATAAGAGTATTTATTTGTAAGGACCGGCTCTCAAAAGCCTGCTACTCAGAACCTGGAGGAGCACTGGTGACTTATTTCAAGACTCCTCTTCCCAAGCAGATCTGGTCAGCAAGGCCAGCCTGAGCCCGTAGACCAGGCCCTAGTTCAGCACGAAGCTCCTGTGTGTGCGGGCGGGGTTTGATGCCAGGCCCATCGGTGAAGATGGCACAACCCCGGCCACCCTGCGGCAGACGTTCTGGGTGGGAGACAGACGCTGGCCCATAAATAACAGACTCATCGTGGGTATGGGGCTGGGGGAGGCGAGGTGCTACGGAGAGAGGCTAGGCGGGGAGGGTCGCTGAGAAGGGGACTTGGAGTAACCTTGAAAATGAGAGCAGAGAGTGAGTCTTAGAGATCTCAGCCACAGAGCCAGGCCAAGGAGGCGGCAGGTACAAAGGCCCTGAGGCCGGGCAGCTCAATGAATTCAGTAAGAAAGCAGCTAGAGAGCAAGGTGGGATTGCAGGCAGCAGGGCGAGGTCAATGTACTGGAAAATATAGGAAATACCAAGAAGAAAAAAAACCATTGGTAATCCCTGCACGCAACAGAGAATCTGTGGACGTTTTCCTCCATGTCCTTCCAGTCAACGTGTATAGGACACATGTGTCTTTCTCCATTAGATGTCGAGCATACTGGAGCGACCAGCGAGTTCTATGACAAGTTCACCATCCGCTACCACATCAGCACCATTTTTAAAAGCCTCTGGCAAAACATAGCTCACCACGGTACCTTCATGGAGGAGTTCAAGTGAGTCCTGCGCCCCCGGGTCACCGCCGCTCTCCAAACCCCAGAGGGCGGGGCTGCTCCAGAGCCTTCACAGCCCGGCTCTCGGCTGTGGGCGTGGTCTCGGCCTTCTTTAAGTTTCCAGAAGGAACTGTTGGACCTGAGCAGGTTATCCAAGTGTCTGTGCTTACGAGATATTGCTGAACTTTGGGTTGGTCGAGATCCCTTGGGGACGGCATACATAAGACAGAATCTATAGTTTTTATTCTGAGATGATGTGTTAAGCATTTCGTGACTACAATGTTAAAGGAGGTGGTTGGAATGACTGCAGCGAGATCTTCCTGTGTTCTTGAACTTGACATCGAGCTGCAGAGCTGGACATGTTAGGAGGATTTGAGGCTCAGAAGCAGTTAGATTAGGGTTGTCATTCGAAGTGTCGCTCTGTATTTGTAGTAAGGCTCTAAGCGTTGATTAGGGACTTCTCATTGGCCGCTGAGACTTCAGCACCTGCCCGAACCTGACATCAGTGATTCCATCTCGGCTACTCGGAAAGAAAGGCAGGCAGAAGGCTGGACTCGCGCCTCACTCCCCGGGAGGAGTTTTATCCCATCTGCTTGGGCCTCTCTTTGCAGCCCGGTAGGTCTTAGGTCAGGCCCGGCGGTCACTCATAGCTGAGTTACTGGTCACTAATGTACACGTTTCCAGCGGAGTCGCCATCTGCTAAAGGGCTTTCTGCAGAGGAAGCTGTGAGGTAGCTCTTTGTTTCCACGGACTGCTCTTCTGGTTGGAATTCTGTCCAGCGGAAGCCTGGCACCAGCATAGGAAACCAGGGGGGCCCACGGCTGGTTCTGTGTGCAGCTCGGGAACTTTCCATGTTCCTGGAGTCCAGGCTCCGCCCTTGTCACGGGAGCTTCTGTGCCCAGGCCGGGCTGGCCGGCCTTGGTGCTCAGTGGGAGGTCCTGAAGGGTAGCCCTCCTTCTCTACTAATCTTCCAGAACATAACGGGTAGGCCAGGCCCCTCCGTCACCAGCGAGTCCCTGCATGAGAGCCGGTGACAGGACAGTGCCATGGGCTCGAAGCTTTGAGCTCTCTGTAGTAAGTTAATGGCCCTCTCCAGCAGTGTTACAGCTTTTTTTATTGATTTTTGAGAGTTAGGAAGAGAGAGAAACGTTAATGATCAGCTGCCTCCTGTGTACCCCCTACTGGGGATGGAGCTCACAACCTGGACATGTGCCCTGACCTGGAATCGAGCCGTGACCTCCTGGTTCCTGGGACAGTGCTCAGCTGCTGAGCCCCGCTGCTAGGCTGCAGTTTTTCTCCAGTGCGTCTTCTTTATAACGGGAATAACGGTCTGTAGTTCTCGTGTCTCTTATAGGTGGGTGATTATTTGTGCTTTCTTTTTTCCTGGTGAATTCAGCATGGTTTCTTCCTGGCCTGGAAGAGTGTTTTCTCTGCTGGAATCATTGCGGGAAAGAGCCAGGGTGTGCTGCTAAACCTCTCTGAAGGGAGAAGATAGCACTCTGGGCCGTTTTTCTGCAGTAAAATATTATACTTCCACTGTTGCCAAATTTAAGCTGTCACGGGAATCTGCCCACGGAATTCTAAAATATTAGCCACTGGCTCTCCTGAGAGTGCAAGGTGACTCCAGCACGTCACCGGGGTGAGCTCATCATGATTAACTTCAAAGAGCAACACAGTCCAAGGAGGGACTTGCAGTCCTTGGCCCCCACGGTACTCAAGTTGTGCCAAGGTCTCGTAGGGTGAGGTGTGTTGGGAGACACGCGTGGCCCTTTCCTCTGGGACCTGCGGAGTCTTGGTGGAGGGAGACGTGTGACCAGGCCCCATGTTATTGCTTTCAGCTCTGGGAAGCAGTTTGTTCGCTACATCAACATGCTGATCAACGACACGACGTTTCTGCTGGATGAAAGCCTGGAGTCCCTGAAGCGGATCCACGAGGTGCAGGAGGAGATGAAGGACAAGGAGCAGTGGGAGCAGCGGCCCCGGGTGAGCACGGCCGCCCAGCCGGGGGCTGCCTCGGCCCCGCGGGGCGGAATCTGACTTCATGTCGGTGCGTCCCGCCTCCCTCCTGTGGGCTTCCGTGAGTGACATCCCAGGTTTGGGGCAGGAGAAAACTTCAACACTTGCTCTGAAGCTAAGAAGTGAGTTACCAAGTGCTCCTGGTGTCCAGAACTTGTGCCTTTTCATGTTAAAGGCTTTCTGGAAAAGAGCTTCTATTGTCTGAATATGTAAGATTTATGGAAGTATCTAGGAGTAAATTTCAAATTCTGTCTGAGAGACAAGAGTGTCATCTGATCTTCAGGCATCTGGATCGTCTCTCAGAGTTCCAGGGGGGTTTTCTTTCACTTGATCTTCGCTTTTCTATTCAGTTCCTCGTGGCAAAGAGGCTGTTTTGCCAGGTTCCATGAGGAAATCATGTCTTGCCAATGGCGGCCCACTGCCCCGCCCCGACATTCGCTGCAGCCGTGTGGATGGTCCTGGTCAGGTCCCAAGCCCTTCCAGCTACTGCTGACGTCACGTGTTGACGATCTGGTTGGCCTCCCCCATCTGTGTCACTGCCAAGTCCCCGCTTTGTCTATGCCAGTGTGTCATCCACTTATGAGGCTTCTCCTGGACCAGCTTGTATGGCAGATGCTGGGATCCAGATCTGTGCACATTATCTTGTTCACAGTCAGTGCTTAACAGCACTTGTTGGAGACGACTGAACAGATAGTATTGATTTTGTTTGTGCTAATGGGTGGAAAAGGGTCATAAATAATCCCTAACAAGTGCAGTTTCAGAAATCATTTCCATTTGACTTTGAAGTCACTTCCCAGCTTCCACCTCCCTGCCTGCTCCCCCTGTGCTCTGGTGCCCAGCCCCTGGCTGCTCCTCTCTCCACACTATCCCCTAGGTCGGTGTTTCCAGAGGGTGCTGGTTGGGATTTGAATGCAGTAGAATTGTGATACAATAATAACTCTCTGTTATGAGCGACTGTCCCATACGCTGCAGGACATCCAGCATCTCTGGCTCACGTCCATTTAAACTCGGGCAGTGAGGCCTGGAGCCCCCATGGGAAATCACTGCTGGGCGGTCTCCTCTGTCCCACGCCTTTAAATCCCATGTTCTGGGGACTCAGAGTGTGTCTTCCCGGCGCAGGTCTCCATGTTGTTGGCCTGCCTCTCTGCCGGGTGGTCTCATAGGGACCTCAGACTTGACTTGTCTCAGCTGAACGCTGTGTAGCCCTCCAGATGTCGCCAGGTCTGCCCGCTCTGGGCAAAGACAGCTGCGCCTGCGGTTGCTCTGGCTCAGCACCCTCATGACATCCTCCATTCCTCTCCCTCTCAGAACCTCTAGGCTCCATCTTTCTATTGTTGTTAATCTTCATCTGAGGGGTGTGTGTTTGTGTGTGTTTAAGAAATTTTTTTTATTGATTTCAGAGAGAGAGGGAGAGAGAGAGGCATCAGTGATGACAGAGATTAATCAGTTGGCAGCCTCCTGCAGGCCCCCTACTAGGGATCAAGCCCGCAACCCGGGCAGGTGCCCTTGAACAGAATCAAACCCAGGACCCTTCAGTCTGCAAGCTGAAGAGTTCCCTGCGGACAGGAAAAGCTCCAGAGACCTGGCGGGCTCCCTCGGGTCTTCCCTGAGGACGCTGGCTTTGCGACGGGCTTTTCCACTTACGAGCTGACCTTTTCCCCGTCCTACGTGGCCGATGACCGGTCCTGAAATTGGTTTGGCCTCTGCTCACTTCCCAGGACCAGCAGCAGGCCCGGCAGTCCCAGCTGGCTCAGGACGAGCGGGTGTCGCGCTCCTACCTCGCCCTGGCGACGGAGACGGTGGACATGTTCCACATCCTCACCAAGCAGGTCCAGAAGCCCTTCCTCCGGCCGGTGAGTGCAGACGTGGGGTTGGATGTGTCTGTGGGAGTCGACGGTCACATCTGTCACTTGTAACTGAATGGGGTCTGGAAGGCTCAGGGCCACAGCCACTGACGGTGAAGTTCTGTTGCTGATTTCCTCCACGTAGGCTCATTGATGCCCACAGCGCTGCTGCCAGACAGAAATCCACAAGTGGCCGCGTCCAAGTTGACTTAGGAGTTCACTTTCTGCTTACACAGCACTTTGGATTGTTAATGTTGAAGCTGTGACATATTTTCAACATTATTGATGCCTGTGGTTTCTTTTTTTGTTTTTTTTTTTAAATATATATTTTTTTATTGATTTTGTACAGAGAGGAAGGGAGAGAGATAGACAGTTAGAAACATCGGATGAGAGAAAGTCATCGATCAGCTGCCTCTTGCACACCCACTACTGGGGATATGCCCGCAACCAAGGTACATGCCCTTGACCGGAATCGAACCCAGGACCCTTCAGTCCCCAAGCCGATGCTCTATCTATTGAGCCAAACCGGCGATGCCTGTGTTTTATTTAGAGAAAAAGTAAGGTGACGTCAATTGGAAATTAGAGACCATTAAGTAGAGGTAGTTGATAGTGAATGAGATCAAAGATCTCTTAGGTGTAGCTTTGTGTCAGTCAAGAAGCCAAAGGTTAATAAGAGCCATAATTAGGTTTATGAAAGATCAAAGGTTGTTAACATATTTGGCCTTGACATGATGCATAAGACCTCGGCCTCTTTCTGAAATTGAAGCTGAGCGATATCCCCAAAGATCTCTGCTTTGCTGCACCCGAGCCCCCCACTTCACTCCCACACACGGTTTAGAAACTTCCAGTGTGGCCAGGACAGAGGGTAGTGAGGAGAGCAAGAAAGAGGCTTAAACTTGACCTGTAAACGCCGGACAGTAAGTAGTTCAGGACGTGGGCCACATGGTCTCTGCCGCGGCCACGGCCGGTAGCTCGCCGGTCCCTCCTGTGACCATGTTTGGTTTTATGTGCAGTGACCCCAAGGGCAGTGCCTCTGATAGTTAAAAGGTAGGAAACATAGAAACGATTTAAGACTAAATTAACACACAGTCTTCACTTTTCAAAGGAATTATCGGAAGCCAGGCCTAGTTTGTTCATGAAGTGAACGTGTTTCAGGGCCTGCACATAGGCCTGGGCTGGCCTTCTGCCCCGTCTGTGCCTGCGCCTGCATCCTGTGCTTTCCTTCATTACACAGCACTCCCACTTCCAGAGGAAAGCAGATTCCCAGCTCTCTCCTATTCTCCTTATCCCACAGATTCCTGGTTAAATACAGCTAAAAGCCGGTTCCTGAAAAGCAGGTTCCCGAGCTGAGCTGACTTTCGGTAAACCCAGTCATTGCATTAAGGAAAGCCTTGTGCCCGAAGGGGAGCCCTCACCCGCTTCGGCCAGATTTCCCAGTTCGGGTTTGCTAACAGCAGTGCGTGCCCGGCAATAGCAGTGCTGTGTCGTCTCGTTTGTTGCACGATTGCCGTAGCCCAGCTGTTTCTCTTAAGTCGGCTCTGTCTTACTGGCCAAATTTAAAACTGTTCAGACGTAAATTTTATCTTCTGCTTCTTTGCATTTCTCTCCTCTTGGCACCTGATAGGTAAAGAATGGTGTGTATTGCCTGAACTGCCAGGGACTTTTGAAATGCATACAAAAGTAATGCATAAAATGATGGTCTACAGAGCAGATTAAAAAACGTATGACTTGTTACGATGATGGAATTAGGAATAATTTTCCCTTTTTTACCTGTTTCTTGCAAATTTAGAATGATCCTTGTTTTTATAATTAAAAGCATGACTTTATAGAAAAGGTTGTCTTTTGTTGGTATTTATAAATATTCCACCAACATACAATACTCTATTAAGTGTGAAAATGATGGGATTGGAAATGGAGAGCAATAAATTCTGAATATAGTGTTTTTCTTCAGCTGATGAATCACAGCACTTGGGGGGATTCTTTGCCAGGGATTCTTTGAAGATGAATCCAGCCAATTCCCGTTGCTCCACTGAAATGGGAGTTTTTGGTCCTTCTCACGTCTCTCAGCAGCATGAAATGTCCTATTCTCCTGTGATTTCCTAGGAACTTGGACCCCGATTGGCTGCAATGCTGAACTTCAATCTCCAGCAACTCTGCGGTCCCAAGTGCCGGGACCTGAAAGTTGAAAATCCCGAGAAGTACGGCTTTGAACCAAAGAAGCTGTTGGACCAGCTGACAGACATTTACCTGCAGCTGGACTGTCCGCGGTTCGCCAAAGCCATCGCCGACGACCAGGTGAGCGCTGGGGTAGCCGCCGCTGCAGAGGGAGCCGGGTCAGGCTGCTGCCTGTGAATTTGCCGTTCTGGCTCTCCTGGCAGATCCACGCGATTGCATAGCCATCTGTTCCTGAATTCCCCTCGTGAAATCAAGGAAGGTGATACTTTCCAAAATATGGTTTGAGACATTTTTAGTACGTAAGTGGAAATCGTGAGTTTAGCGTCCAGAGGACTTGTCTGCTGTAAACGGAGACGAAGTGGCTGTTTTCCTTCGGGCATAAAAGGCAAGATTAGCCCAGGTCCCCCTCCCATTGTGGGCTGGATCGGATCTAGCCAGGGCTTCAGCCCCCAAGTCCGTGACCGTCCCAGGAAGAGCCATTTCCTCAGAGAAGCCATGTTGTGGTCCCAAAGCCTCGGCTCTAGTGCTGCCTTCACCGTGCCTCCAGGTTTCACACCTCGCTGGCTGTTTTCACCTTCTTCCCTCCCCCTCCCTGTGTCCCGGGGGCCTCATCCGGCTCTGAGGTAGCCCCGCCCCGCTCAGCTGGGCCTGGCCTTCCCAGCCATCTCGCCCTCTGCTCTGTCCCACCATCTGAACATGAAATAACTCATTCTTACTGAGCACCAGGTTTAACCACTCCCTGTCCTCACTGCTTTGATCCTCACAAAATCCTACGCTGCAGGTGTCGTCAGAGTCCTCCTTCTGAATGAGGCTCCGAGAGGTGGGGGAAGGTCGTGGGGGTAGAGCAGGATCCAGAGCCCCCCTGAGCCCCTGTCCTCACCCCCTCTGCTCGCCACGTGAAAAGCCCCAAAGCTCCAGCTCTTTCTGTCTCCCCATCTCCGTTCACACTTTTATCCAATTAGTATCTCACATCTCAGTTTAAACATCGGTAGGCATTCTAGAAGGTTCCTCACCCTTACCTCATCCAAAGGTTAAAATGGGGGAAACGAGCACCTGAATCTTTCCCACTCTTGGCTGCTCCGTGCTGGTGTGGGGACAGATGGTGCCACAGGAAAGCAGAGGAAATCCAGACGGGTTGCTTTTCATCTGTCTTGCAGCCTGTCTCTACAGCTCTGCCACACTTCCTCCCTGGAAAAAATTAAAAAAAAAATAAAATGGGGGAAATGTAAGTACTTTTTTAAAATAACAGCTTTATTGAGATATTACTCACGTATGTAAGTACTTTGTTTTCAGCACATTTACCTTCAGGAAAAAGAGTTAAAATTTCTACCTCCTTTCTTGCTGCGAGGCCCCCTGCAAAGCCTGAAATAGACTAGATTTTTCTCTTTAATATTGAAATTTAAAAAGAAATTCAGGCTTGCTGTAAAAATAATTAAAACATTTCCAAATTCCCCTCGTTTGCCTTAATCCTAAAGCCCTCCCCAGAGGTGATGACCATGTACAGTTGGGTGTGTACTGTCCCATCTTTATGGATTACCAGAGGCCCCGCGCACGAATCTGTGCGCAGTGGGGTCCAGCTGCCCACCCCAATCAGAGCGGATCAGGGCCAGCCTGTCAGGAGGAGGAGACAGCGGAGGTTGGCCAGCGGCCCTCCCTGATCAGGGCCCCATCAGGGCTGGGCCAGCTCGGAGGTGGGGCTGAGGGTGATTGGCCCGCAGGCAGGCCCTGCTCCCAATTTGGCTGGGGGGACCAGTTAGGGGTGGGGCCGGCCATGGGGAGAGTTTGTGGGCAGTTGGTTGGCCAGCCCCCCAATTGGGGGGGGGGGCTGATTGGGGGTGGAGCTATCTGGGGGGAGGCACAATGGGCCAGTTGGGGTGGTGGGGGATGATTGGGGATGGGGTCAGGCAGGGCTGGGCTGCAAGTGGGGCTACAGGAGGTTGGCCAGCCGGCCGTCCCTGATTGGGGGGGCGGGGAAGGGGGTGATCAGGGGTGGGACCCGCCGAGAGGAGGGGCTGTGGGCCCATCAGGGTGGTGGGGGCCCCTTGTGAGTAGGGCCAGCCAGGAGGAAGGGCTGCAGGAGGTTGGCCGGCCGCCCTGCCCCTTATTGGGGTGGGAGAAGCCAATCATGGACGGTGCCAGCTGCAGGGAGGGGCCGGGGAAGTTGGCTGGCCGGCCCCAACCCCTGATTGGGCTGGTTCACTGGCTGCAGAGGACGTCATAGCAACCGGTCATTCTGGTCATTACAGCATTCTGGTCACTGGCTTTATATATATATAGATAGTCTTGTAAAAGTATTCGTATATACACATTATAATTTTAGGACATTTTTTTAATTATTTTTTTTAGAAAAAACGCACACAAATAGAACATACTTGGGGTATTTTCTGCAACTTGCTTTCCCCCTCACACTATATTTACATCTTACATTGTCTTTCCTCGCCCCCAGAGATCCTATAGCAAAGAGCTGTTTGAAGAAGTCATTTCGAAGATGCGGAAGGCAGGGATCAAATCCACCATCGCGATTGAGAAGTTTAAGCTCCTGGCCGAGAAGGTGGAGGAGATAGTGGCCAAGAACGCACGGGCCGAGATCGACTACAGCGATGCTCCGGACGAGTTCCGAGGCAAGTGGCCGCTTGTCTGCCTGGCCCTTGATTTGAGTTCCCGGAAACGGTCCCGCAAAAGAGGGCGGACGGGCAGCCTGTGCTCCCGCCTGTTACCGGTGTGCTGAGCTGCTTGTTGAGGCACTTTGACTGAACTTGCCTTTGCCTGCTTTTAGCTCATTTGTAAATTAAAAGACGAGAAAAGGCCTTTAGCCTGATTTCAAACCAGGTAAAACCCTGCAGGTGCTAAGGCCCCCTCGCCTTTCCTAGTACAGGTGGGGATTGGCGTTTCTGGAGTCCTGAGACGTCCAAACGAGAGCTTTCTGGCCCAACCTTTTCCTCTCTCTCCTCCCAGCCGTAGCTGATGAAAGGTCACTTTCCCTCAAAACGTGGGGCCGTTTGGCTGCTATCATACGGACGTGTGTTTTATGTTTCCCTGGCAGGAGGGGCTGCGTTTTGCTTCCGGGCGGAGGTCCCGTTAGGTTAGAAGTTGCTCTGCTCTGTCTCTTAGACCCTCTGATGGACACCCTGATGACTGACCCCGTGCGCCTGCCCTCCGGCACCATCATGGACCGCTCCATCATCCTGCGGCACCTGCTCAACTCCCCCACCGACCCCTTCAACCGGCAGACGCTGACCGAGAGCATGCTGGAGCCAGGTACGGGGTGCAGGGCTGGGGCGGTGCCTACGGCAGCCGCAGATGTGGCGGCCAGAGTCCACAGCTGGAGGCTAATCAACGGGGGACTTGTCAAATCCAGAGACTCTCCCGGGTCTGTGGCCCTTAGTGGAGAAGACGCGTTCCTTGCTCTTGTTCACTGAAGAAGTCTCGTCCTTCTCATGTCCTGCTTCTCCCTCCGTCCGTCCGTCTTCATTGCACTGAGTGCATGAATGGCCTCTTTCCATTCATACCAGCGCGGGCATCATCTCTCCGGGAAGCCCTCCCGCCCGGGCACTAACCCTCCTCCTCTCTCCCCAGTGCCAGAGCTGAAAGAGCAGATTCACGCCTGGATGCGGGAGAAGCAGAACAGCGACCATTAACGCCCCGTGCACCCTCTGCGCGCACCGCAGCCGCGGCAAGAGCAGCCGCAGCAGCCGCGGCAGCCGCAGCCTCGTGGCGAGATGCTCTCCACGTGGCGGCCAGACGTGGCGAGGACACCGAGAGCCCACCCACCGCCACGCGGCGGCCACCGGCAAGGACCCGCCCGAGAAGGAGCCCACTTCCTGTACATATATTTAATGACAGACCTGTCAGAAGCTCGAGGGACACACTGACTGGCGGCTGGTGTAACGAAGCGCGTCCTCCGTGTGTCACAATCTGGGGCTTCCGCAGCGGGAGTTTTTAGTGATTGATAATGAAAGGGTTTGGGCAGCATCCCCTCCATCTTTTTTTTTTTTTTTTTTTTCTCCCCTAAATTCAATATCCATTGATTTGATTGTGATTAGAGAACCTTGGACATTTTGCTGCTAAAGAATCTCTCCCCTTCCCTCCCCCTCCTGCCCCAACTTGCACTGCTGTGGATTTTTTTTAAAGAGAAACAAAAACAAAAATAAATTCCTTTCCCTGGCTCTCCAAACATATATTCTGTGAGATAACTGTGCCTGCAACAAAGTGTTAATCCCGGGATCGTATTTTTATATCATATTCACATATTTGTTTTTTTTAATTGGTGTTAGATGACATGATTAATAAAAAAGGCAAGATATTTTCAGAATTCGAATTTCAGTTTTTATTTTTGTTTTGAAATGGCCCTTAAACTTTTTTTTTTTTTTTTTTTTTAATTCTAAGCAAAATGAAGAGAATCCTGTTGCTCTGACCCTTGTCATAAACCCTCACTAGGAACCTAAGGAGCAGCTGCAGCAAAGGGAACGCTTAAGTCTAACGGGATTAAATGACTTAGGGTTTGGGGGCGGGAGGTTGGTGTTTTAATGCTTCGTGACAGTTGGAAACCTTTACAGTTATCCTAAGAGGAGGGTCCATCAATTCCTCAGCTCTCCGGTCTGTGAGTTCAAGGCAGGGGTCATCTGCACGATGTGTCCTTTGGGGCTTGGCCTTACCAAAGCGAAAAAGGGGTGCAAGGAATGTCTGCTTGTCAAAACACACACAGGCAAACACCCACACACACGCACAGAAACGCCAGACTTTTTGTATTACTGCCCCCTACTTAACATACTTGAATTCTCGAAGTTCCTTTGGGGTAAAAAAGGATTTGAAACCATAAAGTGTTTTGAAGAAATTAAGTCTACAAAAACTTTCTTTTTCTTTTCCTTTTTTCCCCCTCACAGACAATGTCTTCTGTTCATTTCCTAATGCAAACTAAATAAATGGTGATACACGCTTAGAAGGCATCTTCTTTCAGTCTCTTCTTTTCGTGGAAAACAAAGGGGTGGATAAACAAGAGCTAGCTGAGTGTGCCTGTGGTGCATTCTCTCCCCGGAGCCCGTTAGGAGTGGCTGAGCTGGAAAGCAAACACTGGGATTTGTGTGAGTTGATGCGCCATTTGGTTCTCATTCCGCTGTCTGCTTGTCTGAGGGGGTTGAGCTTTAACATCTTGTGTCTGCTGTTCTCCAGTTGCTCCCTTATCTAAAATATCTCTCCCCTGACCTTTCAAGTTCTTACTCAAGTTCAGCCCATTTCCTAAGCATTTTCTCAGGCGCTGCAGTTTATAAAGCCGCATCTCCCAGCTCATGTGATAATATAGGGAGCACTTATATGGTATGACTATGTGCCAGGCACTATCCGACGGCCTTTGTATTGATGATTTCATCCTCAAAAAGACGGTACTGTTATCTTTGTTGTTGTTGTTTTAAACAGATCAGATGTGGTCATGGAGAGGTTAAGTAATTTGTCCAAAGTTACCTGGCCAGGTAGTGGAAGAGCAGGTGTCCAGACTCGGAGCCCATGCCCTTAGCCGCCATGTTCCCACCATTTCAGCATGTTTGGACTAAATCATACACCCCCCCCAAAAAAAATAAAAAAATATATATATATATAATGTGTTCCTTACAGCAAAAATTTCAGAGAACATAAATGAAAATTAAAAACATCTAATCCCCCATGCAGATAATTCTGTTTACTTTTTTTTAATTCATTTTTTACTTACTTTATTAAGGTTCACATATTTGTCCTCATCCTCCCCATTCCTATCTCAAACCCCTCCCCACACATGCCCCACACCCCCAGGCTCATGTGCATGCACACACGTCCTTTGGTTGATCTCTCTCCCTTATTCCCATCCTCCCCTACCTTCCCTCTGAGGTCTGACAGTCTGATTGATGCTGTTCTTGTTCATCAGCCTCTGTTGTTCATCACTTCCTCTAGTGAGCTCATGTGATACTAGAAATGCACTTATAAGAACCGAAAATGAGACAAGCAATAATGGTTATGCCCAGAGGCAAATGAATCAGTCTGTAGTGCGTTCCTTTCTGGGCCAACAGTTCTTTTGAGTCCCAATTTCAATGTCAAACAGTTCCTTACGTGTACATGTCAGCAATGATATTTCAGTTCTGGATTGTGAACAAATGATGTAATTCAGGTCCAACCCTCTCGGGTTTGGTCCAAGGCAACCTTAAGCTGTCTACCTTTTATGAAACGATATTATATGCCTATAAAATGATGATGTTTGCTGGCTTCTATGTCTAATGTTTCTTTAATCCATCTCAGGATTATGTATTGTCTCCTCTCCATCCAGATTGTAAATCTTCAGAGGCATCGATTCTGTCATGTCATTTGCAGTTTATAAAGCCGCATCTCCCAGCTCATGTGATAATATAGGGAGCACTTATATGGTATGACTATGTGCCAGGCACTATCCGACGGCCTTTGTATTGATGATTTCATCCTCAAAAAGACGGTACTGTTATCTTTGTTGTTGTTGTTTTAAACAGATCAGATGTGGTCATGGAGAGGTTAAGTAATTTGTCCAAAGTTACCTGGCCAGGTAGTGGAAGAGCAGGTGTCCAGACTCGGAGCCCATGCCCTTAGCCGCCATGTTCCCACCATTTCAGCATGTTTGGACTAAATCATACACCCCCCCCAAAAAAAATAAAAAAATATATATATATATAATGTGTTCCTTACAGCAAAAATTTCAGAGAACATAAATGAAAATTAAAAACATCTAATCCCCCATGCAGATAATTCTGTTTACTTTTTTTTAATTCATTTTTTACTTACTTTATTAAGGTTCACATATTTGTCCTCATCCTCCCCATTCCTATCTCAAACCCCTCCCCACACATGCCCCACACCCCCAGGCTCATGTGCATGCACACACGTCCTTTGGTTGATCTCTCTCCCTTATTCCCATCCTCCCCTACCTTCCCTCTGAGGTCTGACAGTCTGATTGATGCTGTTCTTGTTCATCAGCCTCTGTTGTTCATCACTTCCTCTAGTGAGCTCATGTGATACTAGAAATGCACTTATAAGAACCGAAAATGAGACAAGCAATAATGGTTATGCCCAGAGGCAAATGAATCAGTCTGTAGTGCGTTCCTTTCTGGGCCAACAGTTCTTTTGAGTCCCAATTTCAATGTCAAACAGTTCCTTACGTGTACATGTCAGCAATGATATTTCAGTTCTGGATTGTGAACAAATGATGTAATTCAGGTCCAACCCTCTCGGGTTTGGTCCAAGGCAACCTTAAGCTGTCTACCTTTTATGAAACGATATTATATGCCTATAAAATGATGATGTTTGCTGGCTTCTATGTCTAATGTTTCTTTAATCCATCTCAGGATTATGTATTGTCTCCTCTCCATCCAGATTGTAAATCTTCAGAGGCATCGATTCTGTCATGTCATTTGCATGCCCCACCTGTCCATGAGTGTAATTGGATGCTGCTTTATTCTCCTTATGCATGCCTGGCTTTGAATATTCTGCCAGCTACTATCCAAGGGGAAGATGTTTGGGATTTTTATTTTTAGAGTCTCAGGGTTGCTGTTTTATAGCAACTTGTGGTAGCCTTCAATCTGTTAATGATGAATATCAACATAAATTACAAGTACATTTAAAGTAGATCTTGCTGAAACCGGTTTGGCTCAGTGGATAGAGCGTCAGCCTGCTGACTGAAGGGCCCCGGGTTCGATTCCGGTCAAGGGCATGTGCCTTGGTTGCGGGCACGTCCCCAGTGGGGGGGTGCAGGAAGCAGCTGGTTGATGTTTCTCATCGATGTTCCTAACTCTCTATCCCTCTCCCTTTCTCTCTGTAAAAAAAAAAAAACAATAAAATATATAAAACAAACAAACAAAAAACCATGACAACAGCCAATACAACAATAACCGTCCAGTATCTATTAATAAAATTATACATATTTTAAAAATAAAAAAAAAAAGTAGATCTTGACTACAAGGAAGATGGTCCCATAGGAAGGAGGCTCTGAGGAGCAGAGGAGGAGAGCCCGACAGAAAGATGATCAAACTAGCTTTTCACGCGTTTTATGACTCACTCTTGTGTGGGTTTTAAGCAGGAGTTGGTAAAATATCTTTTGAAAAGATAGCTAAGTCCATTATTTTGTTCACATTTTGTAATGTTTGGGTATGGTTCATAAAATAATGAATTTCACAGTGTTTTATGGAGGGTGCTGAGATGAGTAGGTAAGTGATGGATGTATTTGATCTGCAGCAGCCGTGTGAGGGAGGGAGTGTAGTGGCCGCGAACCAGGCCAGCGGAGCTTCAGAAACTGATCATTCCTGCTGGATGGCAGTGCACCAGAATGGTCCCCGTCCAGGATGCCTGAGGAGGTGTGGAGAAGCAACATAGCATTCTAGAAGGAGCTTTGACCTTGGGGTCAAACTCCAGACCCAATCCACATGCCCTTGACCGGAATCGAACCTGGGACCCATTTTAAATGGTTAGAGAATTGAATCTCACAGCTTCATTACCAGCCACTCATCGATGACCCCTCATTTCTAGTCTAGCCCAGCCCTCTCTCTTCTGCACAGCAGACCCTCGGAATGAACATGTCCAAGCCAGTTCCTTAAACTTTACCCCAAGCCTGCTCCTCTCAGTCTCCTCATCACAATGAATAGCAACTCCACCCTTCCGAGTCGCATAGGCCAAAAGCTTTGGAGTCATCCTTGACTCCTGTGGTCCACGGTTTGTCAGCTCTACCAACAAACTCAACCAGGCCCACTGCTGTTACTGGTCTGAGTCAGTGTAGGTATTATAGTTTCCTGGGTCATTGCAATAGCATCATAGCTCATCCCCCTGTCTTCCCTCTCCTCCTCTCTCAGACTTCTGTACTCAGAACCTGCCAATGGCTTCCTCATCCTCTCAGCATAATAGAAACCCTCACAATCGCCTAGAAGGCAATATACTCCCACCTCATCATCTCTCTGACCTCATATCCTTCATCTTCCCCATGCTCCAACCACCAAGCCATCCTGGCCTCTTGACCCTCCTTGGGCTTGCTCTCCATCCCTGCAAGGGCCCTTCAACTTGTTACTCCCTCTACAAAGAATTCTCTTCCCACAGATATCCACATGGCTCACTGCCTTACCTCCCTGAGTCCTTTCTTGTCCACTCTACTTAAAATTACAACTCATATACCACCTTTGTTGTTCATTTCTCTTCCTTTATTTTCTCCTTAGTGTTTATCATTATCTAACGTGTCATATATGTTCATAGTCTATTTCCCCCACTAGAATGTACGTCCCATGAGAGCAGAGATTTTAGTCTGTTTTGTAGCCACAGTGCTTAGAAGAGTACCTGGCACAGTGTAAGTACTCAATGTATTGAGAGAATTATCTATACTAATAACCAAGTAAGATGCAAATCGACTGTATCTTTGTGACACCCACCAGCCAATCAGGAGTGAGTATGTAAATTAACCCAACAAAGATGGGTTAGTGGGAAGGCGGAAAGGCAGCTCCGGGCCAGAGCAAAGGCTGTGCTGGCAGCCAAGGGAAGGAAGGCCCATTCTTACATGAATCTTCATGCATCGGAGCCTCTAGTCTTTATATATACTTGTTTGTCATTCCAGTTGTATCAGTCACTCATTGTTGACCCCAAAATTCAGTGGCTTGATACAAAACAGAGGTTGTACCTCCCATGATTCTAGAGGTTCTAAGAGCAAGCATCCAAGGGGACCAGACTGAGCTGTTTCGCCTTCCATCACCTAGGCTTGGAAGTCACATGGTGTCGCTTCTGCCTTAGTCACAAACTCACCTAGACTCAAGCAGAAGGAATGTGGAACCCACCTCATCGTGGGAAGGATGTTAGGATCACACTGTAGGAAGAACACTTGTGGTGGGAGATCATTGTTCTGGTCATTTTGCAAAATAAAATCTGCCACAGTCCTCTCTGGCAACAATTTACAATCTTCCTATTTGCAAGATACATTCATCACTCCCTGCCTCCCCCTGCCCCAGAGACTTCCAAATTTATGACATCAGCCTGAAGTCCAGCATTTCATCATCCAGGTCAAGGTTAGGTGCAGATGAGGCACCTCAGATGTCATTCTTTGGATATAGTCCCTTGAGTGCCATTCCTCTGGATCTATGATCTATGAATTAAAGATATAAGTTAGCTGCAGGCACACACTATACACTCATTGTGCGAGGATGGGACAGGCATAGAAAACCACTATAGATGCTCCTGTTCGAAAAGTTGGAAAGGGGAACACAGCAGGGGGAAGAGGGGGTGTCACTGGTCCATAGTAATTCTGAAATCTAGACGGGCATGAGTTGCTTGTTCCTTGTTCAGGAATCAATCCTATGGCTTATAACTTGTTCACCACGGCTCTCGTCCCCACCCTCCGGGCTCTTG